ATTTGTTTTTTTCACTTTTAAAGTATATTTGGTTCTGCAGGCTGCCGTCAAGCATGCATAGGTGTAAATTATTACGAAATAGTCAGCCGCTCATTCACACAGCTCGACTCTCTGTCTTCCAGTCAACGCCTGACCACACCACAGACTTCTGTCATGATAACATAAGCTGAAATCTTGAAATGCTTCCTACTCCCTATATAGAGCACTATATAGGTTATAGAACAGTGCATTTTATGTTGAATAGAAAGTAATTTATATTCAGCCATTAGCTCCATGACTCCCTGTCTAACACTAATCCAGCACACTATGTACGAAGTAGGGACCCATTTAAGATTCAGCCATAGTATTTGAGGACTTCCTAAAACATTACACATTACCCTCCATACCCTCCATGTAATAAACTGCAAGGTATGACTGCTGACATACCAACAGTCTAGGTCTGAGAGTGCGGTACAGACCCTTCTCCAACAAAGCACCAGAAGTTTAAAAAGTCGTCCCTGTTACGAGGTCACGTCTGGCTTCATGGGACTATGACATCATCTTCCTATTTTTTTTTTTAAAAAAAACCTCTGCCATGATTTCTTGTTTCTCCTACTCAACGAAACGCCTAAACTAACGGTTTCGGATAAAATTTTGAGGTTAAACTGAGGTGCCATTCTTGAAAATGGACATGAGGCACAGCTGACAAACTCTAGCAGCACAATATATACAGCAGGAATAAAAGAGGGGGCAGATTAATTCATTAACCCCTTAAACTCTAAAGGCCTGCCTGTGGGTCCAAACTTCAGATCCTTACTGACAGAACTACGTAGCTTATGTATTAGTTTCATATAGTTCCATTTAATTTATAGTAGTTGGGCCGATAGGATAACTGATAACGCCTTATTGAGATCAGATAAAGATACCAATACTGGACAATTTGTTTTGTCCTGTAAAACAAGTTCATACTATAATCCATATATGAAGTGCAGCAGTGTGTTTAGATGATTCATCGTTGATTCATTTTACATAGTCATGATGACATAGCTAAAGTGGACACAACAACTACTGTTATTAAAAGTACATTATTATTGGTCATATTTCACATTATTTGCAGACTTCCAGAGCTGCAGTCATGAATAAACGTAGCGCTAAGAGCGAGGCTGTCACTGCTGATAATATTAGTAACTGAGTAATCCACCAATTATGTTGACGATTAACTGAGTAATTGCTTAACTGTCTTAACTGGCCAGCTCCACTTCATAATTTAGGTATTTGAAGCAAGTAACAGACATTGAATTGGCATATTTTTTACTTTAACTGCATTCCAAAGGCTAGGCTGCTGCTAAGAAAGGCGTGTCCTCTGTAGAACTGTCTTATGGAAGCTCCTCTTTTTTTATTATACAATATACCAAGGCCGCATTAATCAGGTCACTTGAAAGGAACATGCACAAAATCTGATGGATACTGTTGATGATACTGTAAAAGATTGGCAAGAAAAAAAACCTTCATTTGTTTGTAATTAAATGCTATCCTGCAAGCTAAAACTGTCCCACTCACATATTCTGCAAACAACAGAAGAGCATATTGTACATTATACATTTTACTGGCCTTTGTGTAGCACCTTTACTGTGTTGGCTACACAAGTATAGCTGAACTGGACAGTTTGATGATAATCTACAAAATCAAACATACTGTTTTTAAAACTAATTAAGATAAAGTTTCTGGAAGATACAAAAGCTTACATTCAGAGATGCAGTCATTTCATCTACTAGGCTGACTCTAGAACTTTCTCTAGACATTAGTCATGGCGTCCTTGGAAATTGCCCAAATGTGGGCTGCAATTATCGGCTGTACTTAAACAAACCTTCTGACTGGAACAGCATTTGATGCTGTAGCGGCCCAGAAATGGAGGCCACCTAGGCTGCAGACTAACTTTTGGAAGGCAGCTTTCATATGTGAATTCATCTGTAAAACTTAAAGCTGTAATCACCACAGAAAGTGTAACAATTGGTGAATAAGTCAAATCACTTGAATGGTAAAGGCACATGGCACTTTACTTTAGGAAGTGGTTTATTTCGCTTTGCGCTGAATTCTTCTAGGTTAACTTTAACGCCGCAAATTTCCTAAACCTTGGAAGCACGAGCCATGATATCGTTTTTTCAGTCAAAGTAAAATCGCTTGTTACTCAGAGTAGCAAAAAAACAAAACAGTTTACTAGCTAGTGTTAGCTATTCATCTAAATTCAATAAAACAACGTCACATTAGAACTGGACTGATATTTGCTCCACCTGAGCCAGGTGACAGTCTGGTGTGACCGTGGCTTACCCGTGAATATTACTGGAGGAGCCTGTCAGCCTGCTGAGCTGTAAGACCTAGTTAAACAAAAAATTCTACTTCATATACATGTCATTTGTAACTACAAATAGCAATATAGCTTTCTCTCTGTGTGTGTGTATACTCTTATTGATATAGCAGTAGCATTCCGGTTTGGGGTGTTTGGGGTCTAACTTATGCTCATCCGTGTGTGAAGTGGAGGTTATCCACTAAGCTCCATCTGAGGAGCTGGAAAGAACAAAATCATCCAGAAGTAGTAACTACATGTGCATAATTGCCTGTTAGCTAAAAATAGCGTACTACGTTGTCAGTTAGAATTATAGGTTACAATTATTATTATGATCAAACTGATAATAATTTGATTGTATGATTTAACAGCAAACAATATTGGCTGCTGCTATACTGTGCACAACTGTTACAGTCTGTGCAAAAGTTATGCACCTATATAAGCAATAAACCTATTGTTGATATTTGAAGTGAAAAGAAATAAAAAAGACAACCTTAAAAAAAAAAGTAAAAATTCTTTAGCAATGTTAATGCAAAATAGTCATTATAGCAAAGGCAAAAATGTAACTGACTGGTCAGAACAGGTTAGGCAGAAACGGTAAGCTAATGACAATTACAGATTGTTAAATTCTCTGACTCTTCAAATCTTGAGATAACAATCTACAACCATGCGCTCCTCTTAAGCAGCCAGCTGAGGACCTTCCTCTACTAAGGAAGGCTATAAAAAGATATTTTAGCGCTTTCAACTCGCAGTTTCTACTGTTATTAGAAAATGACAGTTAAGGGAAGCCAAGGTAAAATCTGCAGGACCAAGAAAACTCTCAGAAAAAACTGCTTTCATGCTGGCCAGAGAGTCAAAGCAAAACCTCATAGGACACCTGCAGGAAGGCAACAATGTTCTTGGGTTGTTGTGGATTGATAAAGAACAAATGGAACTCTCTGGTCATGATCATCAAAGACTTGAGTCTGGAGAGAAAAGGAGCAGCATTTGATGAAAAGAACACCTTGCTAACTGTTAAGCATGGGTGTGGATCCTGAGCCAGTGGTACAGCAAACACTGCACAGGTACATGGAATAACAGATTCCATTAAATCCAAACCCTTGGATTTTGGAAGAAAATGTAACATAGTCTGTCAACAAACTGATGCTGCCTCTAAGACAGGACAATAATCCAAAATCAATCCAAATTTAAAATTCACTGTGAACTACTTTAAGAAACACAGGCTGAAGCTTTTGAAACAGGCTTTGAAAATCTGTGGGAAGATGTTAAACATGCTGTGCACGCAAGGTGGCCCAATAATATCATAGAACTAGAAGCGAAATAAAAAAGGGGGCAAAAATTCCTAAAAAAAAAAAATTAGAACAGAAAGACTACTGGCTGGCTACAAAAAGCAAACACAAGCCATGACATCTACTAAGTAATAGCTTAGCAAGGTGTCCAACCTTTGCATGTCAATTACCATTTCTTTTCTATAAGTTAATCTGATATAAAAAAGTGCATTTTGCAAAGATATGCAAAAAAAAGTATTTTTTAAATAATTTGTTCTTGAGTTTGTGTTTACTCCGTTTCACTTCAAAAATCCACAGAGATGCCCAAACTTTTACAATAAACTTTATGGATTTACTAAATACTCAGTCTGCAGTTTTAGGGGTTAACTTTTCTACCCCGCTCCCCAAATACGACAGGCCCACAATAGCCTACTATCGTAAATGCCATCAAATTACGAAAATTCACTGCTTTTTGAAAAGCAAACAGGATTAGCATAGGATTCCTTATAAGGAATCTAAGGTTGCTTTACCAATTCGGGTTTAGTAGTGACCGTGCAACACGTCATATGGACTCTTGGATTTCTGTTGCTGCAAAAGAATGCAGATGAAGTCGTAGGTCAGTCTTTTCACATTTCTAAGAACCTCTGTCAGAAGACCTCTTGTTTTGGGTTGTAGGCCAAGAAGAGCAACTTGCTACGGTTAAGGCGCTCCACTGTGCAAGACTCAAAACTCAAAAGCATTAAAGGAGCAGGAGAGAAGAGGAGGCAAGACAAAAACCTAGACGGATCAACTTGCTCATTCACTCATCTTCCAGTAAGATCTAGTTTGACTGAATAAGGCCAAGGTGGTGCCTCAGTAGGCGTGGTTCATCATCTCACAGCTTTTATGCACCTTTTGATTCCGCTTATGACCTCATAGAAGGTCATGATGGTGTGTGTGTGTGTGTGTGTGTGTGTGTGTGTGTGTGTGTGTGTGTGTGTATATATATATATATATATATATATATATATATATATATATATATATACGAAGATATGACAGGGAAAACCAATGGAAAAATGAAATTACTGAAGTGTTAAAAAAGGGTGTCTAGCCTTAAAACATTTCAAGTTTACTCTGAACCTCAGAACAAATGTCTTTTGAAAACATGTTTGTAACCGACGCGAAAGAAAAAGAAAAACATTCACATTTCTCTACAGGATAATTCACAACTGAATATGAAGCTTCTAAAACGTTAGCTATAAAGTGTCCAAAACAAGAGTATTCCGAACTGCACTCCACACATAGAGACCAGTGTTCATTTTTTCATTTTTCTTGTTGCATTATCCTGACTCAGGCCACAAACTGTAACTGTGTGTATACGCAAAACACCCAAACAGAAATAAATGTTGAAAGAAAGGAATATCCCCTCACTCGATTGTAATGGACACAAGTGCTTTCTTCTGCTTTCGTCCCTCCTCTTCTTTCTCTCTCTCGCCTTCCTCGGGCTCGGGTAGAGAGGTGACAGCAACGGCGTTCTTAGGTTGCTCCGCAGGTGTCCCCTCACCCCCCGCCTCGCCCCCCTGTGCCGCTCTGGAGCCCGGGTTGTGGGCTGGGGGCGCCGGGGGGTGGGGGTCGTAGTTCATTGTGGAGGAGACCTGGGAGATGACGGGCGTTTGGACTGAGGAAGAGGAGGAGGAAGAGGTGGCGGTGTTGGCCGCAGTTTCAAAGGCCTGCTCGGTCATTTCGAAGTGGGCCAGACTCTCCTCCTCCTCCTGCATGTGGCTCAGGTAGTCTGGGAGGAGGAACTCACTGGAGTAGAAGAGAGAGAAAGCAAAAGAGGTTAACTACAGCCATAACCGGATGCAGTCTTCTTCAACATTAAACTCTAGATCTGAGCAACTCAACAACATCGCCTGCCCATACATGCCTTTGGCGTTGACAGGTTTTCTGCTGTTTTTATATACTCTAAATTATTTTTGTGCTAACTGACTGTACAATACAGATGCAGCAGATGGCTGAAAATTCCTTTAAACTGAGGCACTTTAAGTTATTACTCACTATTTAGTTAGCTGAATACATAAGTGAGCATTTCATAACCATCATCAGCTTTCATACTGCTAGAGACAATAAAGGAGAGTTTACACAGTATGATAGGTCATGTTCCACTACCCTTCTCATAATTCCTAAAGAAAATTCAAAATAAAACTTGGACTAATCCTGACATTTAACTGACATTTATCCTTACATTTGTCTCAAAGCTTCATAAAAGCATTTGCAAGACTTCTACTGAATCAGTCCTTCCATACATGGGTCCAAATTTTAAAATGAGAACAATTTCATGTCCTCTGGCACGACCACCACAATCTAAACAGAGGCTCTGCTTACATATTAAAACTTCTGCATGTATTAAAAGTGACCTAGTGAGTAAAGTATCACCATTCAAACTCACATTGTTTTATAAACAGTCATATGCAACAGTTAAAAACCAAAAACTGCTCAACAAATTATGTATTGTTCGTATTTTAAGTGAAAGTAAGTTAACACATCCTCTACAGAGAGCACACCGAAATATGACATTTTCTGCTAATTTTAGTGCACAAATTCTATTTATTTGCTGAGTTTTACACATCAGAAACATAAAAGAATATAAAAAAAAAAAACATAAAATTTTAAATTTGTCATAACCTTTGCACCAGCCACATTAGGCTTTATAATGTTTTCCCCCCAATATGTAAACTTCTGCAAATAAACAGTTCATTCATTAAAATATGCAAAAGCGTGTTCTCTGTAGAAGACTTAGAAAACCAATAACACATGTAATTTGACCAGAAGTGCATAAGACTGTTCGGTTTGATGATTTTTTGTTACATTATAATAATCTTTGTATTACAATTATTACGCAAGTTCTAAATACACAACAAAGAGTGAGCTAGGAGGAACTAAGAGGTAGGAAATGTTCTTGAGGTGGAAAAACATCAGCTACGGCTTTACTGACTCAAAAGGTTCAGCAAGTTCACTGTTAAAGGAATATGCCAGCGTTTTGCCACATATGCAGCATTACAGTTCATTACTGCAGACAATTTCATAACGTCTGCCTGTACTTAGCAAAAGAACAGAAAACCTTTTTCCACTTGAAACACATTTATAACAGAAGCCAATGGGCAGGTGCTGAAGAACTTTTCTAATTACTGGGAAAGGCACCAAAATGATTGTCTGTGGTCACCGACTCCCTGCTACAGATGCGGCAGGTGGAGATTAGGCTGAAAAACGCTAGAATATTCCTTTAACGGTTATCAGACTCCCACATTCTCTCCTCCACTCTGAGCCTGGGGAACACCTGGTTTCAGCAGGGAGACGTGGGGTAGACAGCGGCTGCTTCTCGTTATCGCAACAGAGAAACACGCATCAGAACACAATGCAGCCACGTTCTCTGCCTGCCAGCAATCTCTCACTTTTTCTTTCTTTCTCTCTCACCCACTCTTTCTCTCTCTCTCTCTCTCCCTGTGCTTCTGAGTGCGTGCCAAAGCATTGCCTCATTCCTGCAGGCCTGGTCAGCTCAGACGTTGTTTATTTGGGCTGGATGGGGCAGTGAGTGAAAGAGAGAGGGAGAGATGGATGAGCGAAGAAAGAATGGGTACATATGTGCGAGGAGCTCAAGGCTCAACATCTCCACGAATGAGAATGAGGATTCTCAGGCATTATATCATGCTGGCTGAAGACCAAGTGACCGTCAGATGTCGACTGTGAACTTTGTTAGGCTACCACTAAGCCGACAAGAATCCGCAGAAGTTGTTTAGAATAGCAGTCAATGAGAATTCTCTCAAAATTATTCATACTTTATTTTTAGCCATAACCTTCATTCCCCAGTGACCTGTTCAGATCTGTCAAAGGAACAGGGTTTCCCTGCATAATCCAACTCTTCCCAACACAATGACGCTTTTCCCAATAAAGCACATTTCCACATAAAACATAATTCACAAGCAGTCGAGCCCCAAACTTGAAACAGAACCTATAACTGTTCAGTTGTTTCAATTTTAATAAATACAGATTTGCATACAGGGAACTCGCTTGGCTAGCGCTTCCTGAAGAATATGCAGACTGTGACAGAAGTGATAGAAGGCCTACGTGATGTTCTGGGACACGAACCACATTAGGAACATGTGTGAGCATGAGTTTCCAGGGATAAGACAACAGGATCACCCAAGGGTAAGAATGTCTACGACCTATCAAACACTTTTGTGAGTGAGTCAGTAAAACGCAATAATGCCTGCACTGTTTCATTGGGGCCTGGATCTGTCAACGAAGCTCGTAACTTATGATCATTATCAAAGATAAAGTAGGGGATAGCAGTTAAGGCAAAGAGATTTCTGATGACAACACCAAATAGTATGCTAATTAGCAAGGTACTACCATAGCCTGCAACCACTTTTAACACAGAGGATAAAAACAAAGAAGTTCAACGAATCAAGATTCATTACGTCGTGAGTGTGTGTATATATATATATATATATATATATATATATATATATATATATATATAGTACTGTGCAAAAGTCAGAGACAAAATGGCCATTATTCATTTTTTAAGGAGATATTTCTGATGAGATAACCCACTTACCAACCATGCAACAACCATGCCAGACCTGGTAGACCACTAAACCTGTCCCCATCAGATAAACAGTACTCAAAGCTTTTGAAAGACACAACAAAATCAAGCTCCACTCTTGCTTCAAATCTAAAAAAATACACATTTTTTTCCATTCTTCCACTGTGAGACAACTCGACCCTATGTGTCTGAAAGGATGTGTAGCCATTACTGAAAAAAGGAAAGACAAAAAAAAAAGAAGAAAATCAAACAAAAACTTGATGTTCTCAGAGCAACGAGTCCAGACCTCATCATCACTGAATGTGTTTGGAATTACTTGGATTGTGAGACGCAGAAAACGCAGCCAACTTCTGAGACTGAACTTTGGAGGTGAGGATGAATTACTTGCAGTTTTCTTTAAAAAAGTGAGAGCACACGTCTTTAAAAGAATAGAGACTGTAATTAAGGTAAAGCATGAACACACTAAATTACGAAAATGTATATTATATTTAGTTGTTGAGGCTTCTGTGTAACTGTCTGTTAAATTTACTGTTCCCTGCTTTTTTTTTACTGGTGCTGAAAAATAAAGAATTTTTGACTGGAAGCTAAATAAATGAAGAGTGGTCTCTGACTTTTGCACAGTGCTGCACACACTATCATTCAAAAGTCTGGAATATTCTCAAATATATAAAAGCAGTTGGCAGATATACGTACATTATTATTATATGATTATAAATATGATGCTAGTGTTATGTGTCCAGATGACGGACCCGTAAATGATTGAGCTTTGTGACATCTAAAGTAATATCCAGAACAACTAATGTTTGAAAAGTGACCGATAACTTGAGAAGTGACTGCAAATAGAAGATCACACTATAATACAGGGAGATTCAAAAAGATTCATCCGATTTCAAAAAAGGTTTTTTTAACTTGTAAATCATTACAGAACAATGCAGTAAATTGTAAATGGTTTAAGTGAGCAAAAAGTTTATTATGTAATTTTCCAAGTGCTCAATATGAACCTCCTCCAGCTGTACGGACAACATCAACACTATAGGCAAATTCATCCCATACTCGATTGAGCATGTCGGGTGTCACTGTGTTCACGGCTCTTTCAATGCGATTTCGGAGATCGTCTAGTGTTGGGGAACCAACGACGAATGCTCTGAGCTATTGGAGGTTCACTGCCCACGAAAATCACATCGCACAGTTATGACGGATTCACTCTTACTGAAGTGGAGAACGCAAAACGCTCAGGGGTCACCATCTCCTCGCAGACTGAAGGGAGCCGTCTTCCGGTGACAGTCACAAACTGTGTGACCCCCTCTTTCAATTGGTATGTTATTGGTTCCTAGGCGCCTCATGGTTGTAAAAATATGGTGCTTTGAAATCAGATTAATGTTTTTGAATCCCCCTATATTTATCATATAATAACAACTTGTTCCCAGAATACTTGAAATATTGAATGACATCTAAAAATACCTGACGTCTAGATTATAATACTTAAATCTAAATTATTATTTAATAAGAATAATAATAATAACGTGACAAGTAATTCCAAACTTTTGAAAGCGAGTATATATGTTTTTTCACATCCCGCCTTAGTCACAGCCATCTCAAACCTGGGTGACTAGCTAAGCCTGCATTGATGTTCCTGTTCGCAAAAAGAGTCATTTCTAATTGCGTTCAGCTCCTCCTCACCTGGTCTGGAAGTAGTTTGCTAGCTCTGACGCCTCATGGTTGAGACTCCTCAGGTGTACGATTAAATTGCCGGAGTTGGTAAACATGGCGCCGCATGTTTTGCACTCGTAAATCCGAGGCTTGCGGATGATGTGGCGGGACACCCTCATATGGTGCTTATATTCACCGAAGGAAGTGAATGTGGCGCTACAGATCTGGCACCGGAAACAGCGTTTACCTTCATGCTTCAGCCGGTGCATCTTTAGGGAGTAGGCTCGCGTGAACTTTTTCCCACAGCGGTCGCACTGGAATGGCTTAATGCCTGCCAAGGACAGAACAGGTCAGCGGTCACACAAATGTCACAAAAGAAGGCACTTTTATACCAAAATAACTTTGTTTAATACGTGTGTAGTTTCCATACTACAGTAGAGTTTATTGGCCAAACATAGTCGTTTTACAATGTTTCACAAAAAATGCATGGCTTAGGTCAGTTCATGTTGTTTCATCAAGTCAGTAACAAATTTGGCAAACATAAGAGAGAAATGCTGTATATTGCATATATATATGTGTGTGTGTGTGTGTGTGTGTGTGTGTGTGTGTGTGTGAGCGTGTTTCCGCATAGTTAAATAATAAAGCTGTAAAATAATTCATTCAAAATGGTTGATATGAAATGCTCTGCTCTAGAGAAATGTACTTTCTCAGGAGTCAGAACTGTTCACAGTGGTGATGATGCCTCTAAAGCTCCCTCACAGAAAGTTATTACATGAAATGCTTTCAAATACGCTGCTTGATGCCTGAGACGTTGTTTTACTATAGCTTTGAGAAGGTTTTGTCTTAAAACATAGAATTCATTAATGTGCATGCTGGACACTGTAAGGCAAAATGTTTTTTTTTTCAGATTTAACCCTTTTTTTTAACGATTATCAACACTAAATATAAAAACTCAGATCACACGTGTTGGTTTATTGATGGTTTTAGACAGTAAATAATATGTCTGCATTTGCACTGTAAGTGTCTACAGTGCAAATAGACATATTATTTACCGTGTTACCTCTAGTTCCACCACTGTAAACAAAGTTAGTTCCACCAAGTTTCTCTACAATTAACCATTTTAAATTAAACCACTCTGAATGACTTTGTTTACATCTCAATGATTACATAATGCAGACATTTTGAAAAATCATTTTTAAATATCTTTAAGCAACACTGCGCTTACATTACAGCAGAGTGAATGGCTACAAATTACAGGCAGACTGATAAATCAGTGTGCTGATACTATCGGCCGCTATGAGGTAGTTGCAGATAAATCAGTATCGGTGTTCATAATGACCAGCAAATGACAATTAAAAAAAAAGTAGAGGCGGAAGACAGAGCGTAAATGGAAACATTCACATCAGCCATGCCTGCTTTTGCTGCATTAAATGTGAAAGCCGTTCCTGTCAGGCAAACATCAAAATTAGCCAATTAATTACATTTAATATTATGGTAGTAGAGTGGTGCAGGCTAAGCTGTTGACAAATTGACTGCAGATTTATTTATGAAACAGTATGACAGTTCTAGCGAGTAAACAAACAACGGCCCTACATTTTCTCCCTAACTTGTCGCTTCTAAAAACTCTTTGGCAGCAACATTTACAGCAGCTTATCACACTGTTTATTGCTAAATTAGGTTACCCACAAAGCTAACTGTGATGCTGTGTTTACCAGTAGATAACAACTAACGTTAGTAGGCAGTTAAATTATAGCGTTGAACTTATTCTGCCTAAACGACAAAGCTGAGGTCAGCTCCTTGTTTAAATTTTCCCATTTCCCCTTAAATGGTACAGCAGTTACACCACTAGCCTCAGATGCCGGAACGTAACTGCTGCATCATTTAAAGTGGAACTGGAAAATTCGAAGAAGCAGCTGGCGAACAGGAAGCTGGCTTCAGGCTAGTGCCTAAATGAAGCAATGGTTAATATATCTGTGACTCACATGTCTGTAGTTATTGTAGTCATTGGAAACAATTAAACCAGAGGGGGCACATAAATAAATACGAGCTAAACTAGTATCTAACATGGCTTGGTAACCAGACAAAGTTATCTACCTTCTCTTTCAAATGTGCAGTGTGTTGTAATGGCACTGTTTAGTTAGAGCGCATTGATCTGTTGTGAGGCGTATTCACATCTTGAAAAGGAGTTCTGGTGTAGTTGTGAGTAACATGATATGTTCAGATGCTCCTGCACGTAATCCGGTTAATCATTAAATTCTTTAAATGATAACATGACAGATGTTTATTTATGTTTATAACACTATAGTGAGAAATACAGAAAGTTGCAAGTTTATTTTTAAACTGCATTACGTTACCTTGGTGTGAACTCTGAATACCATTTACCAAACAAAATGGGCTGTAAGATGCTTTACAGACTGGCTGGAATGAAATAACATTAATACTGATCTGGCAAAAATTGACAAAACTGAGCTACATTTGATGTTGCGGCAGTTTTATGGCTCAGTCCGATTTGGCCAGACTCTGAAGACGAGACTACACGTTTGGCGAATGGTATTTGGTTCATTTCTGGCTAATTCCAGGTTGTTTAGGTTCTTCTGTCACAGCTGCCGACTGTAAAGCTTGCTCAGTGGTGATGACAGTTTCAAATGCAATGAAACGAATATAATGTAGACATTTTTGTACAGTTGCCCAGTGTCATCAAATATCAGTTTGAAATACTGGCCAATTAACCATGTATTAAGCAAATATCTGCTGATACTGATAGATTCCGATATCATTGTGCATCCCTAGTTGAAATGTGCTGTGATTCTGGTTGACAGTATTCCCTTTTTTCATACCTTCAAACCAATACTGGCCAACCATGGTCCTGCAGATCTACCTTCCAGAAGAGTGTTGTCCCAACCACAATCTGCCACAATCTGCTCCAGCGTTTAAGATGTAGGTTGGAACTAAACTCTGCAGGAAAGCAGATCTGCAGGAAGAGGGTTGGTGACCACTGCTTTAAACAATCTTGAAGTATTACAGTGGTATACTGTTTTACCAGGGGGTGGTAAATGTCAAACCATCTATTTAACAATTGCAAAATATTAAACACTGCTGCTAACTAGGAGAGAGAAGCTGTTTGGCATTGGCTTAGCTAGCATAATAAAAGTTCTGTTCACCACCGAACATGTTAGATTCTGGATAACTAAAGAGCTGACACAAGTTTAGCTAATAATGATTCAAATCAACCATGGCTGAAGGGGCAGAAAGGTGAAATTAAACCTGTTCCGTGGTGTTTGGATCTGTAGCTGTAACATTAGCTTAGTGAGCAGGCTACAGACCCAAACAGTGCCACATACCACAGTACAGGTTTGATTCTGACTAACTGAAATAAGAATGTATTATAAAAACTAAATGTCTGAGAGAGCAAAGGTTGAGTGTTATTACAGTGACAAAAAGCTGAAATTTAATCTGCTCTGTTGTGTGGTGTTTTGGTTAGCAGGCCAGACATGCCACACACCACAGCACAGGCTTGGTTTCAACTAAGTGTTGTTAAAACGACACCCATTTAGAAGATACTAACGAGAGAGCAAAGTCAAGTGAAACTGAAGTCTATTCGATTTTTTGGTGTGGCTATCATGTTTGGTTTTTCCTGGCTCTGATTTTTTCCCTATTTCTATTAGTACCACCGCTCAGTGATTCCCCACACCACCAACCAGTGAGCACACTGAAAATATAAATGGGTGGAATGTGTTTATTTGGCCATTCAGACATGGAATAAAAAATTTGGCATGTCATGATCATAATCATCATCATTTTTATCACGGTGTACCTTATTATCGCTATACGACCCAACCATGGCCTTGGTGCACTGTCGTCATATCCGCATTCAAAACTACACTCTGAAATCGGTATCGAACTCTAGAACTCTAGCTTGAAAAGCTAAACTTGCTTGCATTTTAGCAACAAGGCCACATAAGCAGCCAGTAGTTGGGGAGGTAAGTGTTCTTCACTGTAGTGTAAATGCAGTGCAAGGATGGGCAATAACTTGAAGGCATTTTCACAGTAGGCATCACAATGCCATGATTTTTTGATTGGTCTAAATATATCATCTTTATGACAAAATTTTATATATGCAGTTGTTCAGTGCTGACGATCCCCAGAATACACTCAAAAAAGCGTATTGTGACAATGTAATGAAAACAATGTCATATTGCCCCCCCCCCTAACTAGCAGGTCTCTTTCAAAGAGCACCACAGCATAAGCAAAGAGGGTAGGCAAAAGAGACCATACACGACTGCCAATTTCTGATCCCTGTACCTTATGCTGAAGTGTTATGATGAAAGGAGCCTGCAGACAGTAAAGCCAAACAGCAACTAAGTTTCATGTGTAAACTGAATGCCTTTGGAGGATGAATTATGCCCTGGTGCTCTGAAATGCCAGTTATATAAGTGCAGAGGCTCCCTCACCGGAGTGGATGAGCATATGCTGCTTGAGGTTCTGGATTCGGGTGAAGCGGACCCCACATGTGGGGCACTGGAAGGGGCGCTCAGGCCCGTTGAGACCGGGCCGAGCAGAGGGGCTGATATACAAGTGGTATGGGTACTGGACGTTTTCCAGCCTAGAGGAGAAGAGGGGAAAGGAGAGATGTTACAGTAGCAAACATTTTTTTTAAAGTTCACTCATACAAAGTATCTACTGCATTCAAATTCTTAACTCACTTGCCCACCAAACACACTTCAAATATATAGAGCCTAAAGACATTAATACAAAAGGGAATTTCTCCAATTAAAAAAAAGCATAATTCAATAGTTGAGATGTAAGCAAAGTCATTCAGAGTAGTTTGATGTGAAATGCAGCACTGGAGAGACAATGTCACATTTGCAACAGTTGACCAATTAATAGTCTGTATACGGTATCTGTGACAAAACACACTAGTCACTCTAATCTAGCAGTTCTATACTGTTTCAAACAACTAATTTTCCACAAAAAATAACCTATTATGTTTTCAAGCCAGTCAGTCCTGCTGATTTATACTGTGGTATCACAGATCAATTACAATGACAGATCTTCAAGGAAAATCTCTTGCCATGTTATTTGATCATTGAGCCACCTAAAACATAGATTTTCAACTGAACTAAATGTCACCAATTCCAATGTTCAATTAGTCATATTCAACTCAGATTTGTTTTAGTTAGCTTGATTAATAACATAATTTGACTCTGACAACACTAATTTCACTTCTTGATCCATATGACAAATAAGAGTGAAATATTCCTGTCTTATTCTTCCAGGTTGCATAACCTGGGTGCTGAAAAAGCCAAGGACAGACACACTTTTCAAACAATCTGAATATCTTCATTCCGAAAGCCACAAGGTGACTTTTAACTGACTAACTTGTGGCAAATGTTTTGGAATATCTACAAAACGATCTGCTTGAATGTCTGTGAATCGCCAACTTAGCAATTCCTCTGGACTTGTTTTCATACCACCACTGTCTTCTTCCATAGCTCCGTGAAGATCTGTCCAGAGAGGTTTCAAGCTAACATATAACAGGTTTAGTCAGGCATATCAAGTTGTCATATAAAAGTATAAACTCCTCTCCAGAGATGGACAGCTGTGTCTTTTTCTTCCCCTTTTGTTTTGCATCATGACACTTCACTTTTCTTCCAGGTTTCCAACAAAATTCAAGATCCAAGAACTTTCCAGAGGGCCGGCCAACTAGCTTCTGGCCGCTTGGCAAAGAGTCACTGTCCTAATAGCCACGACAATGCCGCGTACGCTTCCACCACATATAAATGAGTATAAGTGAAGAAAGATGGAGACTGTGAGGATGAAAAATAATGTCCTGCCTCAGAGGGGCCTTTTAGAAAAATCGTAAAAGTGAGACATCGTAAAAGGAGACTCCGTAAAAACAACGTAGGTGAGGCCCGTACCTTTCGTCTTCCTCCATGTGGCCGGTGGTGTTTGGAGTGCCCTGGATGGACTGAAGACCCTCAGTGACCCCCTCATCCATGGAGCCTGAGAGGACAAAAAGTCACTTTTATTTTGTCAATGATAAAACAGCAAGCATGACTGAAAGCATCTAAATGTATCACTAAATGAATGACGAGTTGGAGCTTATTTTAGATTAGACTGTTATCCTGTGAACAGTGGCTGCGAGTTGGTAAATATTAAGTGTAAAACGCTTCATATGTCTCCTTTAACTGAGAGTGGGTCATCACGAGACCGCAGATATGGCTAGCTGTTCAGAATAATACTGACTGCTGACTTGGGAAATGCTAACAACACCAAAGGATATGTAGGTATAGTGAAGCACAGAAATGAAACTAGCTATGTATTCAATTAGCTCAATTGTGCTTATTAACAGCCCTGACACACATTTAAAACTGAGATTTTCAATTTAAGTGCTGACTCGAAACTAACACAAATTTATTTTAGTTAGCCCCCAAAAAGTCAAATTTGCATGAATGTCGGCTTAGCCTAGATGTAGCCAATAAGCCAAGATATGTTTGGTGTCCAAATTTTGCTTCTTTAGTTTCACACTGGATCTAGAAGGCTAATATTGCTAAAAAACACTAGAAGTCAGTAGTCACCCAAATCTTTCCTATAAATACAACTCCAAAACTTCTCTTAACTCACTCAAACCACTACCAGGTCTGGATAAAGTCACTGTGTACAACAGGTTTAGCGCTAAAATCGGCTCACAGCACACAGGTACGTGGATTACATCTGCAATTTTTGTTATTTCTGTTTTTAAACATATATCTTCAGTCTGAAAATTGTAAATTAACAGTTGTTTATAAAAAAGAAACAACACTAATTGCAAAAGAAATCTGTAGCATCTGCATACCTGCATGTATGCATGTAAAGGGGAGCTGAAATCAGTAGAGGCAGAATTTAGCACAACACCTGTTGTCCAAAATGGCTACTTGCTGTGTTCAGCTACACTGTCAAATTTTGTTCATTTTCATAGTTCACTGTAAGTCATACTGTGCCCTAAACTGCACTGACAAATTTGTGCAAGCTTAACGAAGACCTGAATGTGGTTTGAAAAAAAGTACAGGGCATGCATTTACAGAAAATATCTGGGTGCTTATTGATTTCCATTGTATGTTAGCAACATTAGCCTTGTAGTTCCAACAGTAAACTAAAGAAGCAAATTTAGGGTGAGCGGAAAATTGTGTAAATTTAAAATTTGTCAAACCATTTGTCTAAATATCCAGGACCTGCCAGTAGGTCTATTTTTCACTGTGATAATGCAAGAATAGGTCAAGTTTACATTGTTTTCCATATGAATGCTGTTTTATCTACGAATTCTTCCAGGTTTCTTAAGCTGGCCCTTAAAAAAGCAAGAGCAGGTCTACATTTCAAGCAACGCGAGTACCTTCATCCCAAAAGCCCCAGGATGACCTTCACAGGACTAACTTTGAGCAAAAGTTTTGAAACCATTAGGCCTACTTGAAATCTACAAAGAGATCTGTCCCAACTTCCCCATAATCTCATAACCAGCCCGCTGTTTAACTAAATTTGACCAAAGACTTCAGTGTAATTAATCATGGCTAACTCAGATTCACTTGATTAGTAACATTTTTTGACTGAGCATACCTATAGATGAAGACTGGGGGCTGATGAGCAGATCCTCCTGAGCATGCTCGCTGCCTGGAACAGTCTGCTGATCACTAAGGGAACTGTGGGAGGCGCTGACTGGCTGTGAGGCCTCTTCATGCACTTCTTCATCGCTCAACCTTTCCACCTTCACTTGCACATCCTCCTCTTCCTCTTCTACCACAGCTGTCCCACCCACACCCATCCCACGAGGGCCCTCGCATGAGAGGTACTCCACTAGTGCCCGACCACTTGGGTCCTGCCCGGACGCACCAGCAGACTCCAGCAGCCCCTCAGGTAGCTTGGCCTTCTCAGATGCGAAGCGGCGATCCACGCCGAAGGGGTAGGTCCAGGAAAAGGCCAGGGAAGGCTCAAGGGTCTGTGCAGAACTCTCGGGGAATGAGGACGAGGAAGGTGAGGGGTTGGGGACTTGTGGAGAGGAAGAAGAGGCTGGCTGTGGGCTTGCAAAACCTTTGCGCTTACGACGTGACTCACGGCACACAGGGATCGGTCGCTCTGCCACGCTGCACTCTGATGACACTGGGGAAGGCGAGAGGGCATCCAGGGGTGCGAGGGTGCAGCCTGCAGCACCTTCTGGGGCCTCCTGTGGGCGATGGAGACTTGCAGATGCAGCACTGCTAGCAGCCCCAGCAGACGAAGAAGCATTCCACAGGATGCTGGACTTCATGAATTCGGAACAGGTGTTGGCCACCGCAAACATCTGCATGTAGCTGGCTGCAGCAAGCACATCGATGATGTTCTCTGTGCTGATGGAAAGCGTGGAGGTGTAGGCGTACTCCAGCAGGGGAGCAAAGCCAGCCACCGTCACGTGATGAAGGTCCAGCACAGGTTTGTCATCCTCAGCCCCAGCCTCTTCCTCATTGAGCTTACCTGAAAGCTTGGCCTTCAGGAAGTCGCTGCAGCAGGCCAGCACTACCTTGTGGGCAGAGAAGAGCTGGCCTTGGACACGGATCGTGACATCACAGAAATGGCCTTCACCACGCAGGGCATTGAGCTTGTCCAGCAGCTCCTGGCTGTGACTCGGGGAGTTGTGGGTGAAGGTCTTTACTCCCATCCTCACTGCTGACTAAGGATGGATTTCCTGTGGGAGAAAAGATGATGTTAAAAAAGCACTGCAGGCCTACGGAATATATGTTGCCCGTTTTTTTAGGTACACAGTTTTGTTTTCCATGCACAAGTTGTGTTAGTCAAATTCTAGCCCTTCATCAGTGATCAGTTTCAAGGCAAATGGTGAATGAATATTTTCGGTCAGTGGCCTATTCTTAACCCAATTACGTGTCTAAAAAAATGCTGTTGGCTCTGATACATTCATATTAGCACAACACCCACTAACATGTCACTATCATGTTATTTGGCCAGTGGCGGTCCATTTCCATTGATGGATGGAGTAGAGCAGGGGTGTCCAATCTTATCCGCAGAGCGCCGGTGTGGCTGCAGGTTTTCACTCCAACACAGCAGGAGGTCATCTGATGAAATGTTTGAAGACTAAGACCGACTGATTAAACAAGTAGAATCAAGTGTCCAGCTTGTTTGGAGGGAAAACCTGCAGCCACACCGGCCCTCTGCAGATAAGACTGGACACTCCTGGAGTAGAGGATGGCTGAAAAATTGTGCAATACAAGGCTATATAAGTAACTGTAAACCTACAAAGTGCACCTATGTAATATATAGGTCTGCAACCCCCACCACAAGTCTGACCGGCAAGTTTTAGGCAGGGCGTGGGACAATTTTTCACAGGCAATATTAGGCACAGGTTGGACTCAGGAATCTATAGCTGCGTTTGGTATAGTTTCATAGTTTAGGATGAATGTGCCCCTGCGTAAAACCAGGGATGAAGTTCAACAGCACATTAGTTGCAATCGCACCATAGATGATGAGAGGGCAGATCTTTCCCCTTGCTTATTAAGCTGGCACAAAGTGTATTAAGCATTTCTGCAAGTAGCAGCAGTATCGTGAACTTTAGTGCAGTGGGGCTAACAGCTGATCACCCTTTGGTTGCTGTTCTTTGCCAGGACCGATTGGCAATTCTAGAAAATAAACTGATAGTAAATACTGTTAGTGTATTACAGATGTGTAAAGTACCAGTTTATCACAGCATCACATTTTCCTTTAATCAAGCTCTTAGTAAGAAACCAAAGCAACATAAAACGGCATCTGTGATAATTCATGCAAGTGCGTACAAGCGAGTCTAGGCTGAGTGAGCTGATTAGGCAAAATCCTTTCTCTGAAGCACTTGCAGAGGCTGAGTGTGTGTGTGTGTGTGTGTGTGGTGGAGAGAATGAGAGAGCTGTTCACTTTAGTTACATTTTTAATACACTGGTCTTTATGGCTCAATTTCAAGCAGAAATTCTTATGACAGCAAGAGAAAATACTACCACTCTAAAATGACGTAAGCGCTGTGGAGTGGATGAATTTCAGATTATGTACTTCTCTCATAGCCCAAACAAACTTTCTAGAACCAACATCTGCCCAGCCAACACCTCTGCCCAGATCGTGATGACACTTCATTGAGCCTTGGACAAAAGCTGGGATGTACTAAGCAGGCCTCTTTCTTAGTGCTCCAAGAAAAAGACAAACCGCAGTCCCTGAAGCTGCAGTTAAAAGTTTACAATTAGCTTTTTTCTCTGTCACATTGTTAGGGTCAAGGTTAATCACAGTTGAACGATTTGCCAAATTCTTTTTTGATTCGAAATTCGGAGTGTGCAGAAAGGCACGTAGCATTCTTTCAAGGCAGAACCTTTACAAGACACTGGGAAGGAATGGCTGGATAACGCAGGCACAGAGCGAAGTCCCTCTGCTTCAGTGAGGCACAGATCTAAAACACTGGGCAGCCAGTGGACATACTGCTGGGTCAGATACACTCATACTAGCACCCACCAACATCTCACTACCATGTTATTTGGTCAGTGATGGTCCATTTTCATTGATGTATGGAGAAGAACATACTGATGAGAGACTAGATTCAAGACCTTAATGACATTTTTCATGCAGGTGCATCTGAAAAACAAAGGCCAGTCTGCATTATAGTTAAGGGTCTCATATGTCTTCATAAAATCAAACTTTATTTTTAGAATGCACAACGGTGGTTTGACTGATAAAACAGAGAAGTAAATACCTAGTAGAAAAATTAATAAGAACCACAGAGGTCCTACAATCTTCAGATAGAACATCAATTAAGCTACTAAATTTACAGGCCCCACTAACACCTGGAATTAACACGTGTCTTCAGTGATCCGATCTCATCACAGCAGAAATGAAAGATTCTTTCTTCATCTTCTTTACAAGCTCAGTTAGCAGTCCTTGCAATCTACACCTTTCTAACAGCCCTTCCATGTACAAAGACTATGGCACATTTTGGTCTGACAACTAATGCGGTGAGAGACTGATGTATTAACTGAGCATGGCATTCTCACTAGTCATAAAGTCTGATCATAGGTGGTGACTGGAGACGTACTGGAAATTCATGGAAATGCCAGGTGTAAAATGCTTTGTGTCTCACTGTCCACTTGTTGATATCAACATCTGTCTTGTTCGAGACAGATGTTGATATCAGGTATGAACAGGGCTATACTGAACTCCTTACCTGCCATGTTCTATATCCAAAATGCTTCATATGTCCAACACAAATGGCTGTTAACCAGATCTTTTTCTGACAGTTTTCTGATAGACTTGATACTAGTCATGCACTTATGTAGCAGATCTTTCTTCTATTCAACCTAAATGTTACTTTATCTTTCCAATAGCGCACATAGTGGTGAAAAAATTAACTTAATCTATAAAGACCAAAGTTTTATAACTTAGATTAACTTAGATCAAACCAAGCAGTACTTTTATAACAGCAATACTTTTATAACAGTGGCTTGACTAATGACAAAAACAAGTTTACAGGTATCTGAACATCAGTGAAAACCACTTTCAGGCAGACTATTCATTCAAATGTTGGGATAATGACAGATTGCAGCTACCTTTATCAGATAATGATCACTCTAACTAAATGAAAAAGCTGCGTTTGTATAAACACTCTTCAGCTCTAACTCCATGGACCTATCTGTGAGGCTCCGAGCAGGCCTGTTGTAGGCAAAGTTGAAGGGGCGTGGCTCTACACACGAGTTGCTTTTGTTTATGTGCTCAGAACGCGCGCTCACGTTTATTCCGTTAAAAGCGCACAGTAACTCTGAACATCTGTATGAACACCTGCTTTAACGTACATTGTATTAGCTCAGATAGGTTTTATTTGGTCAATGAGGCGACTGTTGTGGCCAGCTGCAGCCGAAGGGCAGACGAAATTAAAAGCAAATTAAATTTTTTGCTTCGCATTCTTAAGAAAAATGAGCTAGCTAGCCGCTGTAATATTACCAGAAAGTTCTCCCTAAGCGGTGGTAAGACTGCATCCACTAAAAGTGGACAACAAACACTATTTTGGGCTGGCTCCGTTAGCCAGCTAGCTGGCTAACCCGTTAGCTTGCTAGCTATGTGACGCCGACCGTCAAAACCCGAGCTTCCTCCGCGTTCTGGTACCGACATGTTAGGAAAAGGGTATATTAACGTCTGGTTTACTCACCAAATTTATTCAGAAGGAGGATAAATTCGGAGGTTTGGTGGAAAACAACGCGGACATGAAGCTAGCCAGCTGTCCGAGTTAGCGAGAGCTAGCTAGCTTTGGCAGCGCTAGCATATCGTAGGTGGCATTTGAACAAGGAGTTTCCTCCCTTTACAAAGATACCTTCACATTCCGGTATGCTGTTAACTCCGTATATTCCTTGTTCGGACTGAATGCCAGAACCTTCCCTGGATAAAATAATCCAAAAATTCTAAAAGTATTAAAAGTCTTGCCGTATCATATGTTACTGTTTTGGGCCAGCTGCTCTGTCCCAGCATGCCGTTCGTGTGGCGGTGCTTTCTCCAGTATCTGCCCCCTGTATTTTGCCTGACTGACCCCAAAAGCTTTTACTGTCAATAGAAGGTGATTTTTTTTGGGTAAGGCTCGGTATATTGTCACACCTCAAATGAAAATGTCCGCTGAGGTGGTTATAACTAGCTACATTTAGTTAAATACAACGTTGATAGACACTTATGTAGCCTACTTTTATTTTTCAACTCATAATAACTAAAACTCGTGTGTTGGCTTTTGTGTATGTTTTTACTCGGTTCCATTTTAGCTCTTCACTTTATGTTCCTAATTCATTTTATTCTTTCTGTATAATTCCATTCTGTTCTGTTGGTTCAGCGCCTCGACTGCCTTGTTGATGTTCACACTATACACGTTTGAGCTTTAATCATTTTAGTTTTGGCCAAAAGTATCCCACAAAAAAGCACCCAGCATCAGTTCTTGTGCTAATAGATGCTGGATGTACTAAGATGTTCTACTGCGGTTCTGTAATGAGCTCTGTACTTGAAGGAATGAAGTATCACTCACATATTGACACAGTTTTCACTCCAAACGTAGTTCAAATATAGTCAACTGACCAAGATATGTTTGGTGTCCGAAGTACACTTCTTTAGCTTTGCACTGTAATGTTGTGAGTCTGTCACCCAAAATATCATTTGTATTCTGAAACAGTAACATCAGTAGTAGCTATAGATTGTTTACAATATGTTAATGTAAGTGAAAAGCTCTGATAGTAAGCATAATAATGTGATTTTTATCCCACAGTTCCTCAACTTGTAGATGGATACAAAACATTTCTTCAATAGATGCAGAAACTGTGCTGAAGGCCAGACAGGTAAGATATTGCCAATTCAGAGTGATCTCTCACTAAACCTTGCTCTTCTAAAATCTGAAGTTCATGTAAATCTGAGTTTAATAAAAACAAATATGTTACTAAACACAGACAAGAAGAGGGAGACAAAGAAGCTGAAGGAGACTGATGGAACGGAAAGACCAGTACTGATCAGGTACTAATCTATAGCCTGTGTGTATAGCATTTTTAGTACGTGCAACTTTCTAAGAGAGAAGAAATGGCATTGTTTCACCAATACCATAGCTTAATCTGTGCCTGTTGGAAGTGGATGGATAATATTTAAGTCACAATAGATCTCTGGCTAATACAAATTATGAAGAGACAGATCTACTGTGTGCCAACTTGACCAAGTAGCCACATGTTTTGATCAATTTTACATCCATTGCTACTCAAAAAATACATAAAAAGTAGATATTCTGGGGGCTTTTTTTCTTTTTCGTGGGTGAGACTTGCTCCCGGACCCCTCAGGTAAAGGCTTAGCCCACATGTCCATAAACCTCTAGGGATGCTCTTTTTACTGACCAAGTTTTCACTTATTTAGGTGTTGCACTCAATAACAGAACATAATTCAGTCGAGACATATTTTAATGAATAATTTCAATTCATAACAGTTATGGAGGACAGACAGCAGCAACAAGAAATAAAACACAATTAGGTGTCTTAAAGTAGAAAAAAAATAAATAGCTTAAAAAGGAAGCTATAACAATAGCATCATACAGACCTTCACTGAAGGGATAGAATGCTTTAGTTTCAGATCTACATAATTTCGGAACTTTTCTGTTTTCATTCAGAAGGAATGCAAATTTTTAGACTGACATAATATCTTTAAATCTGGGTCTTATTCAGTTGTTTTATTGTTTTCTTATGGGTTCAGGAGGATAGGCAAAACATTACAACATATTTCAATTGTTTGTCTCTCGTTGACTTTACTGTACATCTAATTTACACTATTTTCATCTCACAAAGTGGAAATGACTCTTAAATGATACTGAAAGAAGTTTCAGTGCTCTTCTGCCCAGCTGAGCAAGGATTTCTGCTCTATTCTGTTGTGCTAGACTAGAGTTAGGAGAGAGTCTAAATGGATTTTTATTTTTAGTAAATATTCTTAGATATCATGGAGCTGTTCTTTCCTTACAATTCCAGGGCATTCCAATATAAAGACTGTTGTGGCATTTTTGCATGAGGTGAAGTATACAGTGACTACTAAAGCTTAAAAGAAAAAAAGAATCCTAGATCTCAATGTGTTATTCACAGGAAAAGCTTTGCGTGAAAATGCAATAGTCCACTGGATACCCTTTTGTCCAAGCGGATAAAGAGGCACTTCTAAGATTACATTTAGCGATAGATTATTTATTCTTGCAATCCCTGTTGTTTGTTCATATGATCCCTATTATGTAATGTCTACCAGTGGATGTTTATGAAAAAGGCATAGTAAAGGTCAATTTTGGATCATGGTCACATCTTGATGCATTTGTTCATAAACTTTGTGATAGCTTGGCTATAGTGAAAAGCATTGTTGATCACTTAGTGGGAGCATATTCACTGCCATACTTTTCAACAATCTAAAAAGCATCTCAATAATCATAAGCAGACAGATTTCAAAGGCTGATGCTAAAGAGTTAAATGCCCTCACTGTATCCAATAGTTTTCACGCTGCCCTATGCTATGTCTGTGTATAATATCACACATAAATGTGTGGTTAATATAGGACTGCACTTAAAAATAATCCAGTGTTGAAATATGTAAAATCTGAAAGTTTCCCAAGTGTAATATTAACCAGCATTAAATTATGACAATTGTTAACAGTTAACAAACGTATCGCTATAGAATACAAACTGGCAAATAAATTAAATGTGCGAAATAAAACAGATTATTAGAGTACATATGAAGAATATCTGTTAAAAAAGCAGTCGGATGCGGACATTTCTAAAGAGACGGACATACCAACTCGCGAAGCTGTTGTGTCCACGTCTCAGGTAGCTCATAAATTTTTACTCAGTTCTCAGTAACATTATCAGTCTAATATGGGTTAAAATGCATTATAATATGGAGGTATGTCACCTGTTGTATTTGAACAGAGTTTCAGCAGGTTTTTGCAAAGGTAATATTCCTTTTTGGTAATATTCCTTTGTGGTAAAGAATCTTTTCCTCTTAAGATTAGATAAGAATCCTCTTAAGACAGGTTAAAAAGTATTAAAAGATTTTTATGGACTGAGGTAGTTCTCAATTGGGAAAGAAAAAAAAACTTCAATAGTGGTTAGATGATTTAAAAGCAAAATTCGAGAATATGAACAACACGTTAATCTGTCACATAGGTAAAACCTCATACCAAATGCCCTGGTTAAGCTTGACAACTGATTTCTGCACCCATGTTGTATATTAGAGTTTCCTTGCTTACCTTTGAAGCATGGTCAGTTTGCTATTCAAAAGGGAAGGATACTAATAGCTCTCTCATCCTCTACCTACCCTATGGATCACACTTCTGCAATCACCTCCTCCCCCGTTTCTCTGACCCAAGGAACATTATTAGTTTTAGCAGTCCTGGTAAAAACATTCCCCCGAAACAGCCTCCGGTCTCTTATCTGGGTTACACTTCTCTGGTTCCACAGCCTTGCCGGTGTAGTCTATGCAGAGCACGCTTCGCCGACGCTCTCCAGGACCACAAGTCCGCGAGCAGGCTGACCATGGCCCCATCTGCCACACAGGGCAGGGCAGGTCCCCACATGGTCGGATGTCAGTTGGCCGCAGGTCTGCATCGCAGAAGTAGGATGGGGATCCTGCCTTGTCCTGACACTCGACACTTCTCCTAGACCAGCCAGCACCACAGCTCTTGGAACACTCGGACCACTCACCCAGGACCCAGTCAGCTCCCCCAAAAGGTAGGATAATGTGTGGGGAGAGGCCACTCTCTGTGCCAGGTTTGCTGAAGGGCACATCCCTGGGCAGAAAGAAGCTGTATTTGACCCTGGGTGGTGACGTGTCCCCGGCTGTGGAAAGGAGCTGGATGGTGATGGCCTGCCTGAGCTCCTGGAAGCTGAGAAGCCGCTCCAGGGTTGTGGACGAGCCGCTGTACCGAAGGACGGCACCAGGCACTGGAATGTCCTGTTCAGCTGTAGACACTGAGAAGTTCCCATTCAGAATATAGGTTCCATCTTCAGTCTTCACCGCTAGGTAGTTGCCATCGTGCTTGATTCCATGGTGGCTGCGCTGCTTGACATCAATGTTGGTGGCCCCAGCAGGGATAGTAACAATGTCATTGTAGCCAAAGCTGGGGAAATATGACATATTTGAACATCTAGTCAATGAATATCTGTGAACATTTTTGAATCTGTCTTATCAGTTACCCCTTCCTGATATTTATCCATTTTAGTCTTCAATATTTTTGAGATTATTCTTCTTACTTACGTGGCTTTGTTCAGAGAGCCACTTATTTTTCTGCAGCTTGTCCCATCTCCTCCACAGACACCACACTTGTCCAGTCTTAGGTTGGAGCCTATGACCTGGTCGCAGCCAGCCTTGATGCACTGACCCTGGACACAGATAGATGTGGTATCTGGACCACAGGTTGTACCATCCACAACCTGGTCAACACAAAAAAGGGCAAAGGCTTATGATGATCATTGAACATGAGATCATAGGCTTTGAGAGTCCAGAAGGTTCATTTACAGTTAAAAATAAAGCAGTTGTACAGTCTGACCACATAAAAGAAAAACAGGGAAAACCATTAGAATGATGACGCAGAACCAACTACATTTAGACGGTGCGAGAAATATCAATTGCAGAAAAGTGCACTCGGGAGCTGAAGGCAGTAGTCAGTCTGGGGTTAAGGGAGCTCGGATTACACCTTTTACTACAGAGAAAATATTTCATGCTCGAGAGTTTAGTGGCAGGGCAAACATATCATCAGGGCTGTGGAAGGAGAGTGATCTCATGAGGGATTCAGATGTTAAACGTAAGACCGTGGTAGACACAGAGAGGAAACAGTGGACAATGTATTTTGCACATCAATATTACAGTTGATTATACCAGATTACTGGGAAAGACTTGTACTGGAGGAGTACCTTGGATTCAAAAACTTTAAATTCGTTGCTGTGCTTGGCTCTGCAAAAGAGCTTGCATCTGTCCCTGGGAGAAACTCCAGCATACTTCGGGATCCACTGCTTTATGTTCCCGTCCATGTCCAAATAACGGTCACTGCTGTATTTCTCACATTGCTCTTCTCTAAAGCTCTTACCTGTGGAATGGAAAACAGTTTGCAGATAAACAATGCATCCCTGACAAATGATAGGAAACTTACTAAGTGCACTCGTGCCATAACTGGGAAAACAATGTGAACTTTGACCTAAAACAACACCTCTGCACTCTGGCCTCCCCAATAATGTGACCTGTGCCTCCCAAAGTATAAATATAAACTGTTACCATAGTCTCCTGGGCAGGTCTGGATGTTGCAGGACTGGTATTTGACCCTCTGGCCTACGCAGTAGGATCCTCCGTTTTGCGGCACTGGGTCTGTACACTCGCGGCGGGAGAACTCAACCCCACCACCACAGGTTCGAGAACATGGGCCCCATGGGCCCCAAGCGCCCCACTCACCATCCACTGGGAGCTACAGCGCAAGCAAAAGCGACAGATACATAATCATTAACACTTCTCTGAAGCATACAGTGAGTATCAAGTTACAGGTGACTGAAACATTCTTTGTGCTTTCGATTCTTTTTTAAGACCTGATTAGGTTATCAACTAGGTAAAGGGACCTATATCTGTGCATTTTTTTTTTCCAAAGTTGACATCAGTTGCTCAATGCCAGCAGTGCAGAACTTGGAGCTTCTGGCTGGCACTTCATGACCTCTGCTGTAACCAGACATGTAAAGGCTACATAGCCATCGCCTGCTCTTTATGTATGGTTCTCGCGGCATGTGCAGAAATACCAGATTTCATTTATTCCTTCTTTTATGAGTTGGCTAAAAGATTACTGCTCACAGCCAGGCTGTCTGGCATCATGGGTTGGCTTTCCTAACAGGCCAGCCCCAAATATAATCTTACTTTTTTAGGAAGCTTTACTGAATACAATGTGACTGCTTCTTAAATGGAAGATCTAAAAATAATTCAACTTTTTAAAGACTCTCTGCAAATGAAAACCAAATCTCCCTCTCTCTTTCTCCATTGCTTCTTTTTCTCCCATCTCCTTCCTCTTCAGGAGAAGCAGCCGGTCTGGCATTTAGAAGAGGGATTTGAAGCAGATTGATTATTTTAAGCACCTCTGAGAGGGGGCCCAGTTGGGCTCCAAGAGGAGGAGCTGGTTGGATTTCAAAAGGTAAAAAAAGGACTGTCTGACATGCAGACACGTCCAGACACCTAAACAATGTACCGAGAAGAGTGTGTCCAACTGAGCAAAGAGTGATTTTGAGTGGACAAAGAACGTTAAAGGTTGTGAGCAACTGAGAGAGACACTTCAAAAAAACTTGCCAGCATTAGCTACTCTTATGGAAAGCAGACCTATGAGTGTGGTAAACAAAAAGGGGCCATAGGCATGATGCAACAGAAATACCATTTAAAAAAAAAACAGCATCCGCCATAAATATGCCAAGAGGCATTTACTGGCATTTTTGTTCATGCCTGGCATGTTTACATACTGACGGGTGAAACATTTCAATAAATCAAACTGTGGTGACTCATGCACACTCAGTCACACTACTTGCATGCACATACCTCCTCTTGTTCTGCCTCCTGCAGTGCGTTCGACACACACATGCCTCCACGGCAACTCTTGTCTTCCCCGCAGGGCGTGCCATCAGCCCAAGGAAGGCTTCCGTTTCGGGTTGTGCATTGCAGCTTGCCTTCCTCACGGCACCACAGCTGGATACAGGCCTGGTCCTCTGGGGCGTTGGGGCAGCGAGTGTACTCCTCACCGAACGACTGCTGGCACTGCCGGTCTAGACCATATGTATGGCCCGGAGGCTCAGCCTGTAATGGGATAGTCTGTTCTGGAGCGTCCAGCAAACAGTCACCTTAAGGGAGAAGACAAAATATGCACACATTAAGTAATTGAAGACTTAATGTTTTTAAACCACATTTCAATTCATCACTCTCATTACCCCATAACTTACTAAACAACAGGTCTTAAGATTAATAATGGAACAATAAGTCTTGCCATTAATGTAGGGGTAAGACAAAGACATGCACAAAAATACAGAGAAAGGGAGAGCATAGTGATTTGATTAAGGATATACTGTACTACAAATGTCAAGAGAGTATTCTGCCCTTTAATAACAGTTATCCTGCTTGAGTTGCTCTCTTCCGTCCACCAAATGTTACTGACAGATGCCGATGCTGCTCATGTTTGAGTTTGCTGAAGCAGCCTCTTATTTTGAGTAAACAGGTGTGCACATCTGTAGCTTGAGGGGACTATTTTCATTGCAGAGCAAACTCACTAGCCAGAAACACTTAACCCCCCCTCCCCTTTTCGCCCTTGTGTGCGTAAGTCAGAATAGTCTCCCATCTGGAGATTTCCATTATGCAACCTATTATACTGCAGCTCCAGTCAAATTCACTTCAGCTCAAAGATCTGAATCCACACAAAACTACCATGTCTACCTTAAGTCCTCCTGAATCGCAGCCTGTTTGTCTTTCTGTATAATTTCACATTTAAAGAAAATAAGTAATCACGTAAGCTTTTCGTTTTTGGTTTTTAAATCTGCATTGGTTTATAAAGTGGGTAGAAGACAGCTTCAGCCATTCAGTATTTGGAACGCTCTCACCAATGTGAGGCAATCCTTTTACAGTTTGCAGCCTTAAAACTGTTTTACGAGTTTGCAACAGCGGAAAATAACTAAGCCTCACGGCCATATCAGTGCTCATGTCTACCTGTGGCAACAGACAGCATGTGCTTGGCAACATGTAGCGTCTGAGTGAGGGAAAACAGTTGTTAAAACTGGAATGTGTTAGTCACCGAGGATGACTCAGAGGAAGAGCGAGAGCAGGAGAGCGTGGACTGAAATATTGACCGAGATAAATCAGCCCCTGGCGAAAATATGTCTGCTATTTTTCAACAGTGATATTTTTGCAGTGTCACTTCTCTCTTTTTTTTGGCTTTTTGGAAATGCACTACTGAGGTGCGAGTTGTCCCTCTGAGGGACAGTAGAGAGAGCAATCGTAGGAAACATTGGACTGAATTCTGTAGTAGACACGCCTTGTGTGTTCCATTCACCTGAGTACATTACACCCAGGCTAGGGCAAACCACCCAAGAGAGCGAGAGAAACAGAGAGAAAGGTGGAAATAGACAGCATGCTTTACATAGGTTGTCTGTTTTGACATTCTCAGCAAAATTATACAGTGTGGTTTCACAGGTCTGTCATTAGCGGTTAGGGAGCGAGTGAAGGCAGAAGTGTATTGCAAAAAAAAATGTATGATGGAGTTAAAGAAAATAAACTTGTGAAACTGAGGCCACTATATTACAGGCAGATTTTTCACCGCACTCTAAGTTCAAAATTACACAGTCTGTCTTTTGTGGCAAGTTTCCATTAACTATATAATGACAGCTTGATGATTAAGGACAACTGTCTCAAAGAAGTTATTGAATAATATTACTTTTTGGTTTGGTTCTTGAGGGAAAACGGTCTTCTTTCATGCCAAAACCAAATGAAAACTCAAAATCTTGTGTTACTAGAGAAAAAACAACTGTCAACAGAAGAACTAAGATGTCCAGACTGACCAGTGAAATAACAAATGTGATTATTATACCCTTTGTACTTACACTGGCTAATGAAGTGTCTGGAAATTTTTTCGCGATATGCTTGAATCAATGCTGTGATATACAGAGGTACTTAGGCCTTACCATGCCCATTGTCGAAGAACTCAGTAACGTAAAGAGCACTGCATGGTGACCAGGGAAAGGTTTTGTTGAGATGGACAAAGAGGGGGGCCATCATGTGGTGTCCATCAATGTGCCCAAACAATTTCTCACAGTTCCTGGAGTCATCATGTGGCATGCTGAGTACATGGCCTAAGAGTGGAGAGAGAGAGAGAGAGAAAGTCAATGTCAGAGTGTCAGAGTGACAATGGCAGCATGTGCAGTTTATATATATATATATGTGTGTGTGTGTGTGTGTGTGTGTGTGTGTGTGTGTGTGTGTGTCAAGTAAAGTATGTTTTTTCCTTCTCCTGTAAAGTTCTCATTTCGGAAATACGAAGTTTCATTCCGACAACAGCAGTAGTGCTATACTTATACAAATACATATATATGTGATAACAGCACTCCAGCTCACTTTTGAGGTTCTCTCTAGACGAAGGTATCACTTACAGTCTACATATCTAAGCACACTAGCTTGGCACAGCTGCTACTGAAACTGGACAATTACTTATTATTGTTCAGTGTACATATATTTCTGTGCCTCTCACACTTAATTGGGAACTTAATTCCACATCCTTTGCAATTAAGATGATCTAATGCAATAAAAATATTCCCTTAAGTCATTACAGTTAGACCATTCTGTAATGGTGCAAATATGACCATGGAAACGGTTCAAGTGAAGCTGAGAAGGTTTGACACACATTAATGAATGGCTCAGTCTAAATTTGGGGCATCCACTCTAGTCCAGACACTTGGTGGGGGTGAGATGTCAGTCAGAGACATGGAGTGAAGTCTGGTGGCGTGTGTGTGTGTGGATGTGTGCACACGCACTTATGTGACCCATACCAAGCTCATGTGACACCGTAAAGGCTGCTTGAAGGCCGTTGTCCTCAATGACTGAACAGCTTCTTTTGGGGTCACACATGGTGCCCACATCAGCTACACCAAGGGTATCACAATGCTCATGTCCACAAATATCCTGAAGGTGCAAAAGAAAGAGAGAGACAGAAGATTGGAGAGGAAGGTGGACGGATTGGGAGAGCAACCAGAGGAGGAGAGGAACAAGGGAAGGAAAGGGTTAGAGGGGAGAGAGGGGACACATTTCAGACACTGATATCCAGACATCGCTCCATTAGTTCCAGACAGACCTTTTTTTTCCCCAAGTAGGCTCTTGCCAGCAAAACATATTTGTCAGTGTTTCCATCGTAAAATGAAGCAAATACATGGCAGACTGTGTGCTAGAAAGAGCAAGGGAGGGAATTTAACTGTGTGATGGCTGGATCACATGGTATGCTTCCAGAGTATTGCAGAAGGCTTTCTTGAGCATGTGTCGGCCCTGACTTGACTGACCCTGACTAAGGAGGATGCGTCCCATGGAGGCCCTCAGAGACAAGCAGAGACACCCGACCTCCGCTAAACAAAACCACCTGCGTCTCCATCTGGCCCCAGCGGAACTGAGACCACCGTGAGCTCTGTTGTGTTACTTGAACCAGGACGTCTTGCAAAAACTTGGCTTTGGCCACATGTTTCACTCAAGCACTGCCCTAACCTTCTGTACTTGGCAGGAGCATAGTCTTGCGCTTGCTGTCTTCACAACTGGACAAGGGGCTCCCCGATGAGCCATGTGGTCACGATTCTGCCAAATCATTTCCTGTTTTGAAGCATCTCAAGCATCATGCAAACAGCCAGATCTATTTAATCAAATGATTGAGGTGATCATATCTGTCTACATCATTTAATAAATGTGTTGTGTTCTTGCATAGAGAGTTGTTGCAGAGAGTTGCCTTCACTGTGCTTCCCAACAGTTTAATTAATCAAATGACCCACATACTTTTAATCTTAATAGTGAATATGGGATTAGGCGTTCCACTCCTCATATTACCAGGACCTTTCACAAGTCCAAAACAAAATCTGGACTGAAACCAGCAGACGAAACTTGAGAACCATCACAATCACAGCATCATTATTACCTACCAAATAAGCAAATGATCGAGGAAATAGCCCTAACCTTGTGTTACATGTCATCCCAACGAATGGAATGAGGGACATTTTCTATTTCTATTGTTAAAGAATGCTTTGGCCTGAAAACACTTTGGCCCATTATGATCTGAGATTGTGGGTGTGTTTTTTTGTGGTCTGGCTCACCTCTCTGGTGAATAAAATGGCAGTATCGTAATGCTCGGGATGGCGCTGACTTGAAGGGTTGAAGAGTTGCTGCCAGGCGCAGAAGTTGCGCAGGGCCATGCCTCCATTGCTGGACAGCTCAGGCCCCAGCTCCTCATCCTCTATCACCAAGATCTTGACCACCACAAGGCTCACTGCATTCTTCAGGCTGGGATGGGCATAGAGTTGTGCAGCTATCCCCATCAGGGTTAGGAGGTAGTGCTGCAGAGATAGGCAGAAGAAAGAAAGAGCAGAGGCAGACACAGAAAGAGATTAGCTATAATTCTGTGTAATTTTACCATTTAAAATCCCAGGCTTATTACATATTGAGGGTTATTGTTCAGTAACTACAAGAACTTCAGTGCAAACTGGTTGAGCTATTCTTAGGTTATAGAAGTTAGTGTAATAAAACTTTGGACCCACCTGTGGGCCCTGGCCATTTAAGGGGTTAAAAGTCAAGAACACTAGCTGTACAGCTGATGAACCCAACCACAAACCAAAATCTGCAAAATCCTAAGCACAGCTGTTCGAGGGCAGGAACGTGACTGGCTTTGGACTGGACAATATGTTTCGTTCAAAAAGACATTCAGAATAACATCCAAGCCAAAGGCTTAAAGATGCCCCCCAGTCTCACCCAACAGAGTTTTTATCACCCTGAAAGCTAAAACAATATCACACAAGGCAGTCTTCAAATTAGAGATGCACGGAAATGCAGCCCTGTTTCCACATTTAGAATTCATTCCTGACATATTGCTGAACTGTGCTTTATGATTTTCTACTTTTGGAATTAATCTTAATTGAGTTCACACCACAAGATTACAATTCTGCCTGTATAAATGAAGGTGACTTCTGTCTTCATCAAACCTGATGACTACTCCCCCACAAAACAGAAGGAGGGTGGGGGATGCGAGGCGACCCAAATCTATAAGCCTTTGGGACTCAAATATTTAAACATTTGTGTTTTTCTTTCCGTCAATAAAATGGGTGGAAGGAGCTCAAAAACAAACTCCTCTTGGCTTCCACTCTCTTCCAGATGGTGCTAAGTCAAATTCAAGCCCCTCATGCCAGCAGTTTTATTTCATCCATCTCTCTCTCTTTCTCTCTGTCTTTCGCCCTTTCCCTCAATGCATCATCACACATTTCCAGAGTGAGAAAGTGTACGTTTCAAATGGGTGTCGTATTCATTACATCAATATATCATCACTGTAAGTCTGAGGCTAGTATGCTCTACGAGAGGTGCTGGAAACAGTAAAGAGGTATCCCAAAAAACATTCTTTTGACCTCTGTTATTCCTTTGCAGTCTGAAGTGCTTAAAAGCACTGCTGCGATCTGGCAGGAAGAAAAGCAGCTACTATAATGGAAATATCATATGACACATACAGTTTCCTGAATCATCGTTCTCCCCTGAAATTTCAGTCAGTGTTTTAAAAACACATATGTTCCCTATTTGATTACAAAAAAAGGAGAGGGAGGAAAAAAGTTTCAAACATGTCTGGCAGCTGTCACCTTCAGTTAATTATACACCATTGAAAAGCATCAACAGGATAGTCTTAAAGAGCTCCCAACATCCTCTGTTTATGGAGGGACATGCCAATGGGAAAGCACGATCAACAAAACATGGAGAGCTGTAAATATTTGTGGCCACATGCTTTGTACTCAAGCTCTCGAGATAGCCAACATGGCTTGACTGTGCGGTTTCATTCATTTAGAAGACCCGTACACTCAGTAAGGAGACATTTATGTAATAAGCCCAAACAAAATATAACCAGCCTGGTTTGCTTGTAGGGCATTAAAGCATCATCAGGGAACATGAACCCATCAGCTGAGTTGGGATGAGCATAGTAAGTGGTATTGCACCAAAAGGGAGGGGGAGCAGATGTTTACATCCAATGCAAGCAATAGATACTTATCTTTTTTCTAAATAGATATAGTGTCTGCTACATGAGTTATTCTCTGCCAAACCAGAGATTTGACTAAGGTTTGCTGGTGGACTGCTGGGTGGGATTATGGAATTTTACACCGGTCCACGTTCACCTCATGCCACCCACACCAGATCTCAATCAACAAAACACAAAACATTGTGTGTGACCCTTTTATTTTCTAAAGTAGAACTAAGACTACATGCAACCTACACATATTATAAATGCAGTGACAGCGGCTCCCAAACCTGGTGTTTTTCCTACTTTTGGTCCAGTCTATCAGCTACTTCACAACCCCTTCCTGCACTCTCAGAAATAAAGGTCTGAAACTGTCACTAGGTTACAGTACATTTCATTACCTTTAGTCAGTGAACATAACTGTACCATAATAATCTATCCAAAATTATATTTTTTTTAAGTTGCATTTAGTCCACACACCGCATCTCGTCTCAAGGCTTTTTATTTTATTGTTGTTTTAAAACATTAGGTTATGAAAATGTACAAATATGTACTTTTCACCTGGGAAAAACTCATTTAAGGTACACAATTGGACCTTAAAACTACTGTTGTATCGTTGAGGGAACATTTACATTATTTGTACTTCAATGAAGGTAAAATGTACCTGCACAGCACCTTTATTTCTAACAGTGTGTGTTGAATTGGACAAGTTATAGCCTGTGACAAATTGTTCTACCATATCGCATATTTATAGGCTCCCTACGTAAAACTATTGGCAAGATTTTTTTTGTCTAAATGAACTTATCAGAAAATGTGGCCATCATTAAAACTATATGCTATATGTTATCAGAAGGAAAGTAATATTACTTGAAGTAAAGCTGAATTTACATTAAAAACACAATAGTATACTAATGATATGTGCATGCACAGTAGGACCGCTCAATGGCTCTGACTAATTGCTAGAACACCTGTTAAACACTAAGGATAGGTTTCGAGGACAGGATTAAGCCCAGTCTTGACTAAACTGCAATGTCAGTGGTGTTACACCGTTTAAAGATCCTATTAAGTCTAGGCAAAGGCTTAATTTGGGTTACCCGGACTAGGACGTCTTAAGCCCTGTCCGGGACCCCATCTTGCGCTGGGCTGGTGAACGACTGGCCTAAAAGAAGGTGAATATTCTGTCAGGTTAAAGACAAGAAATAAGGTTTCATGACAGGTGGCTACTTCAGAAATGAGTGGACACATTGCCTAACTTACATCAGCCCCGTTTATTCGATGTTTTAAAATCGTTAGGCTCAACCTTCGCCCGAGCAGCAGCTCCATTTACCTTTATCTCGTCTCCATAGAAACGAGTCATCGAATAGTCTGCCACCACCAGCGTCTCGATGTACCTCGCGGACGACACGAATCTTTTTTCCCGCCTTTTCCTGTCATCTTCCTCCCCTGTCAGAAAGTGGCCGTCGTCTTGCACTTGATCAAGCTCTCTCCACGTCTCTCGGCTTGAGGCGACCACTCGTCTGTTGACGACGTGGAGCTGAGAGAAAGTTCCGTCGTTTACGGCCGGTTGGATGAAGTACTCGTCCCCGCGCGTGACGAAGGTTCCCCGGATGCCACGACAGAGGCTGACAGCGACCACAGAGTCCAGGTCCCCGTTCACCGTGCCCGAGTAGAAGCAGCCTCTCAGCTCCTCTCCGCTCTCGGACACGACGCTGTCGGTCTGTTCAGAGCCGTTCACAACGGTGGGGAGATGCTTGGCTTTGATACGCTGGATGTGTAACGTTGGAGCCACGAAACTGCTGTCCGGTCTCAGGTCTAGAGTGAAAACCTGACCAAACGCAGCGAGTTTAAAGAGGTGCCTGTCCACAAACTCGCTCCTCCACAAGCCGCTGTGTCTCGGCGTGAGTTTCACAGGTACGGTCTCTTCTGACTCTACAAACTCACACCTCACTGCTTCAGCCAACAGCACTGCGGCCAGGATCAATTTTATATGACAGCCCATCGTGTTTTCAGACAAAACCTGAAAACAAATACCAACAGCCTCAGTTAGGCTACAAACACTGCGAGCGTTTTGGACACCGACACAAAACTACTTTCGGCAGGTGTGTGAGGTGAAATGTCCAACTCGGACTGAAACAAACCGCTTCTGTTTGTTTGTTTGTTTCTTTTGTTTGTTTTCTCTCAGGAACAGACGGAGCTCAGCAGTCCGTTATCCATGAAAAACGGTTGCTAAGGCGACCCGAAGTTAGAACGCGCTTCTAAGCAGAGCGCGAGAGTCTGTCAGAGAAACGCGAAGACGCGAGCGAGGAACAGCGGGACCCGCGGGCTGCTGGGCTGTGAGAGCGCGAGCGTGTTCGGCGGCACTATTTATACGGTCTTGATTCTACTTCAACGTGCGCGCGCGGTTTTTATTTTTGATGATGTTCACTCCCCCCTCGTGCAGCAGAACGCCAAGGACCCCACGATATTCCCGCCACGCCCCCCTTCACGAGTAGTGCACGTCTGACTTACCAGGCTCCTCAGCCACGCCTCCTGCACTGGGATTGGATAGTCTTGAACTAGATTTGGGAGAATAATAACGCTGCTCTGACAGAGTGCTGCAGTCCAGTGAAGTCATTAATATGTGTGGCTGTACAGTGTTGCATGAAATGAAGACTCAAATAGAAACAAAAGTAGCTGCCAAAAACAACGTAAGACTGAAAACGTATCAGGTTAAAAACTCCTGAAGTATTGAGTTCTCCGTGGAACAGCAACAGCTGTAGTAGAACTTCTACTACAGCTTCTTCTCCAGCTACTTCTCCAGCATCTATCGGCATACAAATTGAACTTTGCTTGGTCTAAAATGACTAAAAATCCAGGTCCTACAGATCATAAAGGAATTAAAAAGGAAGGAAAAAGGAGATTAGGACCTAAATGTGAAGGACTAAAATGGAACTGAGCAAAATTAAGTTGGTTAAATAAATAAATAAATAAATAAATAAGAATGCATGAGCAGAACAAAATGCATGAGCTGAAGTGAAGTATTTTAAAAAGCTCAGTCAAGGTCAAATCAAGCAAAACTTTACATGGACCTGAGCAGATGAAACTATCCACCTTCGATAATAAGGTCAGGCTATGAGCAGCAATGCTGATAATGATGATTTTAAAGTGGTTTTAAACACGTTGAACTTGAAGGAGACGTGCCAATGACGCACGCGACTAAAGTGGAGAGATATTGTAGGTAACATGCTGGGAAATTACAGAACATGCTCGCTTCTGTAACTATGAATAAGCTTTAATGTAGGCTGTATTTATAATGAGTGAAAATACTAATTGCGAATATGTTAAATTAACCGAGGTACTCTGACTGGAGGAGACAGCTATTTCACACCAAGAGATTATGTGGGATTTAGTTGCACTTTCTGGATCATACAGTGAGCGGCGCTGCTGCACCGTTTTTGGTGTTTGATTTCGGATGAAAAGCTGTTGAGAAATACACATGAATGCATTAGTATATACACATATTATTGTTTTAAGATTGCATTACATCTTTCTTTTTTGTTTTTTTTCACCTGCTCACATATGTGAAATCATGCAACAAAGGACCTAACTGCATAAAACACTACTTGTACACCTGATGGATAAAGGTGCTGAATCTGTCTATAGTTAGGTAGTTAGGATAGATAGACAAATAATAATAATAATAATAATAATAATAATAATACTTACATATATATATTTGTAGTACATCTTTTTTATTTTTATTTAATTTAATTTTTACATTTATATTACAAAGTTAAACAATGAAAGCTGTTAATAAAAATAATCAATAAAAATGGTGCTAAATGATTACATGTAGGTGCATCCACACACACACACACACACGCACACACACACACACACACACACACATATATATATATATATATATATATATATATATAGTGTTTAATGGAAGTTAATGTACTTATTGATGTAAAGATTTTTTCCATGTTATCTTGGACGATTTCTGTTATTTCATTGCTCATAAAATTTGAACACAAATTAAAGGGTTCTGGGAGTTTTCAAATGATGCCAAAAAGCAAAAAAAGGAGCTACAAAAAAGGAGTTCTGTAAAAAAAAAAAACAGAATGAGCTTTTTTTATGGGTCGAAATAGACCAAAAGACTTTTAGTTGCTGAATTTTACTTTTTTTTTTTTACCAGCTGGTGGCGCTCTTGGCTATTAAACCCTTTTCCCTGCACCAGCTTCTAACGGCCCTTTGCCCGCATTGTGAGCAGATGTGCCTTATATTATTATATCACTAGCATCTGTGTTGACAGACTAGATTTTACCACCCTTATTCAGATTCTTTCATCTTTTTAATAGTGCATCTTTTTTTGAGTACAGTGTGAGAAAATATTCACTTTCTCACAATGTACTCAGGTGTGCACCTCATCAGCGATCATTACAGGCTCATTGTATTTGCGGTGCGGAAGGGGAAGTGCTTATTTCAGCATTACAGAGTTTAAGATTTAAGATGTGATAATCTGCTATTGCAGCTTGTAATGCAGGACAGAAGCTTTTTGATTGTTCTAGCCCCCCAAATAACAACCCATCGCCTCTCTCCCAACAGAGATACTGTAATAAAATAAGAGTGTCTCATATGTAAGTGAACACACTGATGTCATGATGGTATTGAACTGTCCACATATGTTGGAACAGTGTTACGTATCTCCACAAGCCTGTTTCCTTCATGAACAATGACGATAAGACTCACTATTTGGTTAGTTGGTTCTGAAATTGTGTGGATGTTTTAATTAAAAACACCATATGTCGGATCTTTGTTTGTATTATCATAGACATCGTTTTTTGAAAAATCAAATTCAAATAGTTATCCCCTCACCTCGAATGTAGTCCATCAGGAATTACATGTTTGTGTCTTTAGTTTACTTTTGCTTTGCTTAGTTTTGCAGTGGAGCTATGAGGTTAGTGTAGCTATTAAGTAATGGCATGTAATGTATACTAATAAGCATGGTGCAAACATCATGCCTAAATCATGATATAGTTGCCTCAAATCACATTGAACTGTTACATAATCTCAAATAGACTTGCTTATGGTTTCTCACACTGTGTGACCCACTTATCTACAAAAATGGACAAATGCATTGAAACTTCAATTTTGTTCACCTTGAAAGCGGTGCAAATCAGATTTTCCACATTAACTTGCTCTTGCTGAGTTGTAAAACCTTAAAATTAAAGTTTAAATAGCTATTATTTTACAGTGAAGTCTACCTGGCCCTAAAGGGCCCCACTGTACCTAAAACCAACTGTGGGACATTTTACACCAAATAGCTCATTCAAAGCTCTGGGTAATACCTTATTTAATGACAGTGTGAAGGGGGGGCATATCTACTGCATTCTGACAGCACCTGCATAGTTGCGGTTATAAATGTGATGCATTGCACAGGTTCCAGAATCCTTTATATGGACACATCCTTTATTACAGTCACTGATTCTGGTGCATTGATTATCCACACTGCAAGGAACCATTCCAGTTGCATTAGCAGCACTGTCTTTGTTTCAGATACCATATGTACTTCTGTTGGGGCACATCGTCTTTTAACCCCACTCTTAACTCCACATATACATACACTGTTTAACCTCTGAACTGTAGGAGGAAGTGTTGATTCCTAAAACATTTGTAAGAATCTTACTTTGGGGTTGGTGTTGTCAGTGATTCTACTGTATAGTATTAACACTACAGTGGTGAATGACTAGTTACAGTGTTGAACGAACATCCAACGTGTTGGATTAATGCCTGAAATGTTGAATGAACATCTACAGTGTTGGATTAGCACCTACAGTGTTGAATGAATATTTACACTGTTGGATTAACACCCAGTTAAGTGTTGAGTGAAAAATTACAGTGTTGGATTAACACCAACAGCATTGTGTGAATACGTACAGTGTTGGATTAACACCTACAGTGTTGGATAAATATTTACAGTATTGGATTAACACCAAAAACATTGAATGAATATTTACAGTGTTGGATTAACACCTACAGCGTTGAATGAACATTTACAGTGTTAGATTAACACTTACAGTGTTGGATGATCATTTACAATGTTTGATTAACACCTACAGTGTTCAATGAATATTTATCATGTTTGATTAACAGGTACAGTGTTAAATGAACATTTGCAGTGTTAGATTAACACCTGCAGAGTTGAATGAATGTTTACAGTGCTGGATTAACACTTATAGTGTTGGATTAACACGTACAGCATTGAATCACCATTTGCCATGTTTGATTAACAATTCTTTCTTATAGATCGGATTGTGTCCTATAGATAGATAGATAGATAGATAGATAGATATATAGATAGACAGATAGATAAATAAATAGATACATAGACAGATAGATACACAGATAAGCTGATGAATGAATAGGTGAGTGAGTGCAAAAACTCCAACGCAGTCTTCGCTTGGATGCGCGCGCGCTGTGCGGAGTGGGCCGTACTCGTGGCGCGCGCACAAGAGACGACGACGCAAAGCGCCAGAGAAGCGCGGCTGTGTCTCCACCCAATCAGCGCGCAACCTGTTTACACATGACGCGAGCGCATAAAGGGCACGAGAAGGAGAGGAGAGGAGGAGAGGCGCACGAGCACGCAGGTGGAACGAAGCGAACGGAATGGACTGCGCGCACTGGTGGAGCCGGCACTGAGGACGCGTACGCGCACTGGCGAGCCGCGAGTCCCCCGCGTCCTTTTGGATTATCATTACCATAGAAAAAGAGAAAGACAAGAGAGACCGAGTACGCGCTGACCGCGAGCCGTTCCTATCCACTCGGACCCCCTTTGCCACGCGTGAGAAATCTGTTCCGCAGTTATGCGCATATCCGTGAGGACTCTGCTGCTCGCGAGCGTCTTTTTCGTGGAGTGCGCCGCGGAGACTCAGCTATGCGCGCCCGTGCGCTTGGACACCGAGCAGACGGACTTCTCTCAATTCGGCGCGGGCGCGCTGCCACCGCGCGCGTCTTTCCGCGTGAGTGCGTTCGGCCAGGACCTTGTGCTCGAGCTGCGTCCGGATTCCGCTTTCATCGCGCCCGCGATGGAGATGCGCGCGCACCCCGGTGCCCCAGACCTAAGCCGGTGCTTCTACGCCGGCCACGTGAACGCGGACGCACTGTCGTATGCTGCGCTGAGCTTGTGCGGCGGCATGCGGGGCGCGTTCGGCTACGACGGCTGGGAGTACTTCATCGAGCCTGCAGCCGGCGAGGAGGGCGCAGTGGAGGGCGCGCACGTGATTCGGCGGCGCACCAACGGCGAGCGGCGATGCGCCGTAGACGGAGACCTCGGGGGCTCCAGCGCGGCCGTGGCACGCGCTTTGGGAAAGCTGCGGAAGCGCGCGGAGGAGGAGGAGAAAGAGGAGAACGAGTTGCGCGCGACGGCACTGAAAAGCCGCTCCAAACGCTTCGCTTCCGTCCCGCGCTACGTGGAGACGTTAGTGGTGGCAGACGAATCCATGGCCGACTTCCACGGAGACGACCTCAAGCACTACGTGCTCACTCTGATGTCCGTGGCCGCGCGCCTCTACAAGCATCCGAGCATCCTCAACCCCATCAGCATCACCGTGGTCAAATTTATGGTCATCGGCGACGAGGAAAAAGGGCCCAAGGTGACCAACAACGCGGCCATGACCCTGCGCAACTTTTGCACGTGGCAGAAAAAGATGAACAAGAACAGCGACAAGCACCCGGAATACTGGGACACGGCCATTCTCTTCACTAGACAGGTAAGGGCAAGCAGGTTAAATCTAGGGCACGTCGATAGGGGGCCATCTACTACATAGTGGGAGCCTAAGCCAGAACTTGTGGGAAGCTGTGGGACATCAAGACGTCTTGCAGTGTGCAAAGCCCCAAAACAGCTGGATGCAATTAATCTATCCAACAAAAAACACAGTAAAGTGCTGATGATGAATTTTCAGCATGTAGTTTGGAGATTCTGTGTTTCATTGTCAGCGCAAAAGCTCACTGCATACAGTTTATGTTTGTAATCCTCAAAAAGCCGTATCTAGAAAAACAACCAACTAACCACCCAGAAACAGAAACAAACAAACTGGTTGGATGCCCATCTGACTGTTGATGTGTTTTCTCTCAAAAAAAAAGTTTTGCATGTAATTGTATACAAGTCGTGTTCTTAATCTAGACTTCATCTAACTTCATTAACCAGCAAAGCAAACAAAGAAAAAAACAAGCTGTGTGATGCTAGACTGACCGCTGTTGTATTTTTTCTCTCTGACTGTACATCGGACAGGCTGCAACAAGACCAGCCTCCTCAGTTAACCCCCTGTCCCTGAGGGCATCACCTCGGGTTTATGAGATGTTGTTATAGTCAGGGGTCAGCTATGTCCAGAGGCTACTGCCCCCTATTGGCAAACGTGTGCGAGTAAGAATGTGTGCAGTGGATCTAGAGAGGGTCACAAATCATCCAAGCAGTGTCACATGGTCAGATATATGGCAAAGTATGTTAACTCGCTGATTTGAGATCAGCTAAAGTGAAATCACTTTAAACAGTTTAGGTCAGGATATGTTTTGCTTAAGCTGAAGCTTTGCTATGCTCTGTAGAATTGTTGTGGTCAGCAAAGAGAGCATGAACCTTTGGAATTTGCCTGAAACTCAGTCATGCACAGACAACGAAAGTGGTCAAGTGATGGGCCAGTGTTAAGTACTAACCTGCACACTCAAAAGGCTGAAAATTTTCATTGCTTTTAATGTTCAGTAATGGGGCAGATATATGGAATCATTGCCATCATAAGCTGGAGTTTCTAATGCTTAGTTTCATTTCATTGCCTATTCACATATACAGCAGCAGGGACAATTACGGGATGATCAAACAAAGCTTAGTGTTCAAATTCTCAACTGCTATAGTTTATGTGTTTAAGCAAACGCATACAGAAACACCAGGCTTTGCACTGATTCACCTCAAACAAACCCAGCTGAACTCAAGCTTTCTCTGTCAGCTGTTGCTCGGGAACACCCACACGTGCGGACGCTCCGCCAGCCCTTCACACGCCAAATGAGCGAAGATTTTTTTCCCCTCTATAAGCTCCTCAGCATCTCACATGGCCCTAGCTGACCATATCAGCCTGTCAGTTCTCCCAAGACTGTGGCCCAGTGCAGGCCAGTCGTCCCGGAGGGAGTCAGAACTTTAGCTTTGCTTTTTCTGCTGGGAGCCAGCGAGCTGTGGGAGCTAGAGTGCATGGTTCCTCCCTGCATTCTTCTGCTTATTGCACTCATTACTCCATGAAGATAGAGAGGTGGCCTGACATTTTTTGGAGTGCAAAGAGCCACTGCAGGCCAGCAGGTTGGTGGAATTGTGTGGGGGGGGTGTCAGGAGGTCTGTGTTTGTCTGAGAGTGATCCTACATACACAAACATGACTCCAAATAGGATAAGGTAAGGGTGGAGGGTGCAGGGGTGTATATAGCCTTGTCAAGAAGACTGAAATTAGTGGAAGAGTGGGTAAGTGGATGAGCAGAAAGAAATATACATCTACACATGGGTAAAGGAAAGGAGCAATGGATAAATAGGTGGTTGGCCAGTTGATTGGATGGAATTGAGATGGATGGAAGAGTGGACAAGGAGATTCTAAAGATTTATGGATGCATACATGGTTAGCAGAAGGTAGTAATGGGTAGGTGGACAGATTTATAGATGCATGCGTGCATGGTTGCATCGGTGGAAGTAGGAAGGTATTAGTGGATGGATGAATGGTAGGTTGAGTGAAAGTGAGATGGAGAGAAAGATTTACATATGCATGAGTGGATAGGTGAAAAGAGGGAACGGAAGAATAAGTTTTTATCCTGAAATATATGCAAAGTGATACATGAAAAAGGATGAAAATGTTCTGTGTGGGTAAGTGCTAGACAGTTCAACACAGATAATTGTCAAAACAAGTATAAACGAATCTATAGCTGATAAATGATACGTTTCATTGATGACTCTTTCAACATACGTTAGTAAAGTCCAAGCATATTTGATTCTGTATCAAAATCTGCTGATCGGTAATGTTGATTCCCTCCAAATGTTGCCCCGAGGTATATTGTGAGCTCAGATTACTCTATAAATGACTTAAACAGACAGAGAGGAGAGTTGGCCCAGCTTGAGCTCCTTGGAGAACTCTTGACATGCGATCTGATCAAACCCACTACACACCCCTCACAGCAGCTACTGCATTATGTCATTCTGATGATGTCACGGGAAAGGTTATGTTATGCCGTGGGTCTTGTCATGTTTGGTACGTTTCGTGTTAAGCAAGCAGTTTTGCAGCACTAAGAGTGAAGGGCTTTATACAACCACCTACAGTGAGAGGAAATTGCAGTAGCCATTGCAAAATCAATCACATAACTAATTTGAAGAAAAACGAGATTTATAGCTTGGTCCTTAGTGCACACTGGCCCAAACAGCTTGTATATTTCAGTTTCTCTTATTGCAGCTTGGGTGACCCAGATGACTTGGGGGGAAAGGAGCTTTAATGCAGGAATATAACAGATGAAACAAGGAAAAGTGTCCAATTTCTATGGGATGTTCCCTCAACCACAGTTGCAGCTGTGAACGATCTGACTCCTTTCCTCTTCCCCCTCCACCCATCCCCGCAGAACACGCCTGTTTCCCATTACCAGTGAGGGAAAGAGAAAAAAGGGACCCAACCCCCCCCCCAAATCCCACCTCGTCAAGGCCCACCTGCTGTAGAAGGCTCTTTCCAGCTGCAGCCTGGGGAAAGTCTCTCTCTGGGGCGCTGCAACATTTCTTCCAAGTCGTTCCTTTTTCCCTCCAGCACTTTTCGGTACAATCTCCTTCCTCATAGTCAGCGGTCCTGCTGTCTCCAGGATGTGCCCTCTGCACTCAGGGAGCTAGTACGGAGTGTGATTTCCTCTTTAGTTCTTGGCAAGCACTGTAAATTCCAAATATTCCATCTAGACAACTCACTAAGTAAGTGTGTTTGTGTAAAGGTAATTATTTAACAATAGTGTTTGTGGTAAACTGTAAAAAGGTAACTGTTTAAATGAATTAACCACTAAATCAACTAACATCTGTTAGAACTGCGGTGATTCCCCCTGATAATGACTCTTTCCTGTCAGAATCAACAGCCAACTCCAAAGCTTTGGCTGAATCACAGTCCAGTGCACACATTGGCTTCTCCAGTATGATGGGGTATTACTTTTAAAATTAACACTTACATCTTTGACGCTAACCAATTAGCACATGACAAACTGAGCCTAGGAAACACTGGCATAACAGTGTCACTAGCACATCCAGTCATATCGTAGAGCCCACTTCCTTTTCTGTGATTGGTTAAGATTCTCCCAAGCATAGCCAGCACTTCATACAATCTATCTCAAAGCATGTCATACAATCTTGCACCAATTTTTTTTTTAAATAAAAAACAGAACAAGAACTGTTACCAGCAAACTGGCTGTCAGGAGGACCTCTGTAGTGATTCTGAGAGGCCTTTTAGATCATTTTCTGTATTAAACATGCAATGATTACCTCAACTATGTAAACGTACCATTACAGTGATGATTTACAGCAGATTCTTTGAGCTACAAATCTCATATAATGGTAAGGCAATGAGCTCAGAGTTCTTAGTTTACATTATATTTGCAGAAATAAGTTTACATGAAAGCACCGCCAACACATGGACCTCTGCATGACAATTTATTGCTGTTGTATTTGTGTAATAGGTGTATTACCGGAGTAATGGGCATGTTATGTTGATATATAATGAGGGAGGTTAAAAAGAGAGGGACAGAATTAGATAGATCACAGGGGAAAGTAAAACAAATAGACGGAGAGAGAGAGAGAGAGAGAGGGAGAGAGAGAGGGAGAGAGAGAGAGAGAGAGAGAGAGAGAGAGAGAGAGAGATGCACACATGGAACAGTTTGTATTTTGTAAAAGGGGTAATGAAAGTCGTATGTTTTCTCTGTTGGGTGCCAATTGGGTCAGGAGAGAAGAGAGTTGCACCCCCCTTCACATTTTCCCGGTGATGGAGAGATTTTGCCAGACCTGGAGGAGATGTCTGAGAGCCAGAGAAACATTATACAATCACCGAAAAGCATCTGATCTGAGCACGTCGCTGCCCACTTGTTGAGGTTAAGGGAGTGTTTGCCCATAACTTACTTCACGTCAAGCACAGTTACACCCTGTTAAATTCAGGCTGACACCCACTGCTAAATGAGAAGATCCATAGTTCATTTTATGAGTATAATATGTCATTGAGCACTTGCCTGTAGGAGGTATACTTTACTTAGCTGGCTAGCCAGTTTCTGATGAAATAACACCACACAGAACCACAAGACTTCATATGGTTTAATAATCGAATTAGGTAAAGTCCTTTTTTTGAATTGTTTTGTATATACTTGTTACCAAGAGCGAGGGCTGACTCACTTGGGCATACATTTAGAGTTGGCAATGGAAACAACCAGCAGCTAATGAAGGCAAAGGTGTGGTTAGCATTAAACTGGCCTGAAACATTTCAGAGAATGCTCATTTGTTGGTGCCATAGTCTTTCCGTCTGTGGCGCTCACCCTTAAAAAAATAAAGGTTCTTAAGTGATGTTCCTCAGCACTGATTAGCTCTTTAGCACCGTTGCTATGACCAGTTCCAGTGTTAGGTTTAGTGTTAGCTCAACTGAGGGGATAGCTTCTGTCGCTAACGTTCTCTTTATTAGACTTGAAAACCTACTGCTTTAACATTGAGTGGCTAAACGATTTCCCTGGTTTGATTAGTGTATACATGGTTTCCAGTTTTTCTTGTTCACTTTAAGTTAAATTGGCCACGATTCATATTTTATCAGTCCCCAAACATAGATATTTGCACTGAACATCTTGTAAAGACAGTTCAGTTTTGAATGAAAACGTACAATCAGTGTAATCAATGTACTTTTCAGTGTACTCCTCTGTGTGCTAACAAATTTTACTTTGTACTGCTGTTTTTATGTTTAAATTTTAGTGTATTAGCACAAGTGTTACCGATACTACCACATAGCCTGAGCTGAAAGTGTGATGGAAATAGCAACAGTAACTTATTTCATTTACAAAAATGCCCCTTTAAAGAACTACCATAGAAAGTTCTTGAGGAACCCAAAAATGGTTCTTTTATGGCATCACACCAATGAACCCTTGTTGGGATCCTTCTTGGTACTCTTATTTTGAAAAGTGTTGACATTCACACAATGCGAATGCCTGCTGGAACTTACATCTTTGGTCCCTCAAAATAAAGTTTACCTTTACTAAACCAAATACCGCAGACAATATGACACAAAAAGAGGATCTCATTTTGATCCAAGCCTTTGTGGAATCCTGTAATATGTATCAGAGTATTCCACTCTGACAATGGTTTACTACAATGGCATATTATAGCAATGGTTTTCCTCATGCATTATTTTCCAATTGATTTCCTCTGGTGCACTATATCACAGCTGTTGAGTAGGTGTGTAATTCCTTCAGTGTTTCACAAAACTTTGATTGCTGATTCCCAAGAGTTGGCAGACGGACTGTGGTGGACCGGCCCTTGATCTTGTGAATGTTTCTACATTCTTCAAGGCAAGACATCACCAAAAATTAGGGCACTAAGGGCTAAGCACGGGGTTGTTTACAGTTAACCTGCACAGGTCTCCATGACCCAGCAGCTGGGTCCACACAAACAGAAGGAGGTATAGCGGGTGTAAGAAGTAGGTCACAGTTAAAAAATCAACTTGTTTAATAAAAAGAACAATAGTTTTTTTCTTTCTTTTTTTCACTCATGCTGTCTTGCGCTTTTGTTAATAGCCATCCTCCCTCTCACATACCCACATCTGGATCGGGTTTTCAACGGTCGACAACTGCGGCACATAAACAATTTGTTACACTCATTTGGGATTTTGCCTTAGATAATGCTCTTTAACGTTCAACCAAACTGTCAGCACTTTTGGCTTGAGAATCGGAGCCTGGCATTAGTATGTATAACCATAAACAGCATACTTTTGCTCTGTACCTAGCCTGTCTATGTGCTGATCTGTCCTCACAAAGCATCTCAGGAGGGCTGGTCTGGGAACAGCGGCCACATTCCTGCTCTGATCTTAGTTAGCACATGCTACGAAGGTAACAGACCCTGGAACAGCACTAGTGCTAAGTTCCACGTGGACACAGTTTCACAGCTTTGCCATATTATATGCATCACTGTCAGCACAAAGTACTGATCTTTTAAGTGCTCTTCTCTGTATTACGGATGTCAACCAGCGTAAGTCCTTTTCTTAAGGGTTGGTCAGCGAGGGTGTCACACCCTGGGATTGCGCTGACAGAAAACTCTGTTATTATGATGTACAATCAGTGGGGATCAACGGATATTTTGGGCAAATGTGTTTTAAACAGTGTGGTAAGAAAATATAGGTCAGCTGGAAACTTCTTTCCCTTGGCTGGGGACACTGCGTTTTAACAGCAACAGTTACCTCATGTTGCAGCAAAAAATTCAGAGAAATTTTAACAGGGCATCTGGAATATCTTTCAGTGAATCAAAAACACTTAGGAAGAGATTTGAGAAAGAGAAAGGGATTAGACCGTTGGCTTCTCAAGATGCTTTATGGTCACTTCATCATTAGCCTGTTCTAACCACAGTTCAAGGATAATTTTTGGATCGTGCCATAGCTCTAATAGTGCCTTGCGTACAACTTGAGTCTGGATGAGAGAAAACTTTTAGTTGACTGGAATACTAGATCAGGATTCTTGAGTGGTTTCTTTGTGTGTTTGTTATTATTCAATTACACCTAATTGCTTGATTGGTCACAAATCGTCCACATTGTAAAATATAGACACAAACAAGGAAGTAATTTGCCCTGAATCAAAGAGGCTAGTTTGCTGAATGTTTTCCTGAAATCTGTTTATCTTCATGCAAGCTTTCTCGAAGCCAATTTATTTTCATTCTTGTGTTACACTGAAGAGTAGAGATGGCCAAGTGCTATGTTATTAATGTAATACCCATATGGTTTAATATCTATGTACTATAACTTAGCTATGTTGGCCGAGTCATGGGTAGCATATTTGTTATGTTGTTGGAGTGCCACTCAAGTAACCTTTTGTTGTTTCCTAAGCATGCCTTTGCAACAGATGCTATTGTGCAGGCAATCCACACATGACCAATTATGGTTATTACTCTTAGAAATTCACTCTGGCCTACAGTTCTAGCTGATGTTTCCATCTGGTCCAACATTGGTGTCTGTGCTTAGCTCTACTTAACCCTCTTCATCTGATCCAGGATCTATGTGGGGCCTCCACCTGTGACACTCTGGGCATGGCAGACGTTGGCACCATGTGTGATCCTAAGAGGAGCTGCTCAGTGATTGAGGACGATGGCCTGCCATCTGCATTCACCACTGCCCATGAACTTGGTAAGTATGCTGAAAAAGAAAAGCCATTTCAGGCAAGGAGATGTTTAAAGAGGGTGTTTTTTAGTACAAGCATGTCCAAGGGAATCCCTCTCACAGAGTGAGGTCTATAGCCCTTTAAAAGCAACACGCCCCTCAGTTGGTAAGGCACTGGTGAAGGAAGTGGAAGGGGAATTCTGTGCCACATGTAGTGGACACATACTGTACCTCTCTCAGGGCTGGTGTCACATTGATTTATCAATGTAAAGAACATGATCTACCAAAGCCAAATTTTGTTTGTGTCACAAACTACTATTTTAAGAAAGCTAATATGCTCAAAACAAATCAATAATAAGCACTTAAAGATCTGAATTATGTTCTCAAATGATCAATTATCAGTGCATCCAACAATAAAGGCAGGATGGAGCTTCTTTTACATAGTGATAGAAAACATGGTAGCACACAGATTTATATCCTTATGGCCATTTGATATTTAGTTATGTGATGAGAGGATGAGGTTATGGGCCACTAACAGCATATATTGAAGGTTTAGTGCTTTATGTGGTCCTTGACAACTGGATTAGGAACCAGCAACCGACCACCTGTGCCTCCAAAAGTCTGAGCATCCAAAAAATTATATTTGTTCACCTTACACTGTTAGTTGAGGTAAGCGAGCCACATCAGGTTCTTTTGCAAGGATCTGAGAAACAGCTAAAGTAAGATTTTCAGCTCTTTTTGCAGTCCAGGAAGCCTCGTCTTTGGTTTTGCTAAAGCTAAAAGTGGGGATAGCTGCTGGAGGTACTGGTGAAGTGACTCACAAGGCAGTGACTTGATCGCTGACAAGATAATCGCCCATTTTGAATAGAGTGGTGAATCCAAGGGAAAAAATCTGAAGTTGATTTACTTGAGGTTTGCGAATGACACATTCACAAATACATTAGCAAGAAGAAATGACAGTAAAACTTTCTCTTTTCTCTTCCTCTCCGGTCTTCTTGCCTCTTCTCTTTACAGGCCATGTCTTCAATATGCCTCATGATAATGTGAAAGCATGTGAGGATATATTTGGAAAGTTGCAGGACAATCACATGATGTCTCCTACCCTAATCCGGATCAACCGCACCAGCCCATGGTCTCCCTGCAGCGCTGCCATCATCACAGACTTTCTGGATAGTGGGCATGGTGAGTCAGCTTAAAGTATTTAGTCTCACGTGTGATTGTCTAGTTTGTCTTGCATTGCTAACTGAGAAGCTCAACTTCTGCACACTCAACTCTGCTAACTCGAGTCTTCTCTTGTGGCTGTTTAGTTTTTTGTTCATTGCCACCTCTGAAGCCTAGCTTCTGCTAACTCTGAGACTCACCTTAAGTATCAAAATCAGCGTTTCCACTCTATATATTTTGCAGAAGCAGCCAGCCCCTGCAAAATTATTTCTGCCTCAGAATTTTATGAAACATCATGAAGCTGCAAGTGGACGAACACTGTGCGAACAGTCAGAGTTGACCCGAATTGCTGAATGAAGCGTTCACCAGTGGAGCGGACTATTCAGACGGTTTTAGTAAGATGTACTTAGTGAACTGGCTAACTTAGCACACTGTTTATCTGTTTTATCCTGTGCAAACCTGGCTATGTGCTCAGGCCCGTCACCACTGCTGAAAAAAATCCTAAAGGAAACACTGAAAATGGAATCAGTCGTAACATTTGTGGGCCATTGTTAATGTTTTTAGAGTTTAATAGACATAGCAGAGACCGGTGACTCATCCATCAAGACCATTCATGCGTTAGGGGCACTCTAAACTGGGTGTAAATACACATTAGACACTCTCTCATCCCACCAAACTATGCATTTGGTGTCCCTTGGACGACAGCCGTAGCCCTATGCAGTTCCAGGGTGAGCACTGGACCACAGATCTCTGCCAATCAGGGCAAACCACTATGTTGGCCTCAGAGAAAACGACAACTGATGGTTCACAAACTCACTGCAGTGCTTTTTGGGCAGCTAGCCAGACCACTTGTCTGAAAGTAGACTGGGTTAGGACAGCCCAAAGTGGTCTGGCTGTCATTGGCTGTAGGTGCGCACCAGTGTAGTTTTCCCATGCAGGTTGAAATAGAAACTTGGTTTCTCTCTTGACCTCTTTGGAGGAAAAAGAGAGAATGGAATAAAGGCAGCAAAATGGGAGTTTGTCTTTTATATCAGTTTTATTTCACATATAATAAAGAAAAATATCCTAAACACATTGTAAATAAATAAAAGTAAGGGCAACTTGAAACAAGTTAAAGTCTGCATAGCTTTTTTTTTATCAACTTAGTTTAGTCAAAACTTTTCTTTAAAAAAAACTTTTTACTTAAAAAAAGAAAACCGAAATGTGGTTGCTTCCTTATATGAAGAAAGTTTTGAGACATTTTTGTATCTTTTCACTGTTTCTTTCAAAGACTTTAAAGCTTCTGAGTAGCACGACTGTCTAACTACCTGATCATCCAGAAACAAGAGGTTATTAGTTCAAATGGTAGTGATGTGTCAGAAGTCTGAGAAGGAAAACCACCTCCCCGGGCTGGGGGTACTGTGTGGTGGAGGACTTGTAAGCTGGTGGGTGGGAAGTGGTCATGACTAAATTCCATGGAGGAACTGAGTTAAAATCCATCAAAAAAGAGGAACATGTGGCAACCACAATTGTGGTTTATTTTTGAGTAAGCCCAACCTAAACTATATTTTGTAGACCTAACTTGTAGTGCTAAAAAATGTAACACATTTGCACAGGCCAAAATTTATGTTTTTTTTTCCCAAGAGCAAATAAACAGTAGTTGTGCATTAACATACAGACATGCAGAATTGTATTCTCTGTACAGTATGTGTACTTATTTTCCATTAGAAAATTAACAAAACATGGCATTTGAGCAGCAGTATCCAATCCTTTACAGATGACTGTAGCTAACTTGTAATAGAAACATATACCCACTAATTAGCAACCTTAAACTGTGTCAAATTGTTAAGTAATCCCAGGCTTGAAAACAGGGTAAGCATAAAATTGTATGCATTAGTTTGTTGGCAAACTCTATCCATCCATCTTCTAAGTGCTAATCCACCTGGACAGTCCATCACAGGGCTTTTTGACAAAACTCTTCCTTTAAAATATAATGATTTGAACGTGAATATAATCTAGTATATATGTGTGGGTATGTAGTCTCCAGCCACATACTTTGCCTCTCAAGACAGATGACCCCAGGTCAATGTGGAGTAACAGACTGTGAGGCCATGCACTTTACAGCACACACACATTTTTACACAGTTTGATCTACAACTGTGTGAAAGCAACCAGGGAAAAAGCAAACAGTGCTGACATGGGTGTTTGTGTGAGTAAGGGTCCAGTGTGATTTCACTGATTAGGACGTTTACAGTAGGCTCTCTGAAGCCTTCAAAGCCTCAGACTGATATTCACACTCCCTCAGACTAAACAAATAAATGCAGACGTGATGAATCCAAAGATGGGAGTTAAACAAACATCTCCCAGTCATAATTCATTTGGTCATTTGGTCAAACTTCTCCCAAAGCGATAGAACTAAATATCAACATCACTAATGAAGAGATCTGTTTTGCTTTGGTGAGTTATTTTATTTGATAGCAAATGAAAAACTAGAAACAAAACATCATCTCTTCTACTTAGAAATACCAATGAACAAAGTTCTACTAGTAAACAAAATGATTCTTCAAAAGTTTTTTAGTATAGGACCATGAGTACTGAAACAACCCTTTGTACGATTAAAGGGTTCTTTGCATCATCAAGTGTTCTTCAGATTGATGGAGAATGTGCTGTAAATGATTCTATTTAGATCCTTTTTGAAAAGGGTTCTATATAGCACCAAAAAAGGTTCTTCGATTGTTACATGCTTGACATTGTCACATTAGAAGAACCCTTTTTAGTGCTAAATAGACCCTTCTCAAAAAGTCATTCATTTTTCGTCAGACAGAAGAACCGTTTTACAATGCAAAGAACACTTTAATCATGCAAAGGTTTTTTTGACTCTTCATAGTTCTATACAGAACCATTGTATTTACTAAAGAACCCCTGAAATCTTTTTTAAGAGTGTAGCTATAAGTGAGAAATAATCAAATTGCCCACAGCTGTGACCTCTAATCCGTTCCTGAAATCAAACGTGATGAACATGGCACTTTATCCCTGCAGGTGAGTGTTTACTCGACCAGCCCCAGAAGCCTTTGGCCCTCCCTGATGTTCTCCCTGGTGCGTCCTATGGTCTGGAGAAGCAGTGTGAGCTGGCATTTGGGACTGGCTCCAAGCCATGTCCGCTCATGCAGGCACCGTGTCAGAGGCTGTGGTGCACGGGGAAGACCCGCGGACAGCCCGTCTGCCAGACACGCCATTTCCCCTGGGCAGACGGCACCAGCTGCGGGGACGGCATGGTTTGCCTGCGTGGCATCTGCCTAGAGAAGCAGGAGGTCACCAAGACAAAGGTAAATGACAATGCAGTACATAGATACACAGGGTACACCCATGTGGCTACTTTACGTAAACATGCGTAACCCTAGAATGGCAGCTCACAAGAAGCTACTACAATGGCCAGCTACTAAAAAAGACACTCATTATCATTTACTGTACCAGTCAAGTTTGGAATGTTTTAAGAATATACAGCCAATCTGTTTGTAGAGAATGCATGTGTGAAATGACTCTGACATGCTAGTCTTCTGTGACTTAATAGAAGGAGCTAGAAGCTTTATATAAAAATTAAACAATTTTAGATGTGTCCAGAATGAGGCTGTGGATGAACTGAACTGTGGATTATTCAAAAATGACTAAGCTTGTATAGCATCAAGAATGATGCTATATGCCATTATTTGTGATGCCATTACATCTTTTTTTTTAAACTTCACACTAAGATGCTTTTGGGAAACTGGGCCCACGTCAGCTAACGGATGCCCAAATTAGTTTCGTGTGGGTAGAATCGCGCTGGGTGGTGGTAGGAGACCAAGGTCAAGGTCAGCATTAGTGAGGTCAGTTACCGATGTTGCATGGCATCCCAAAAGTATTCTGCTCAAAAGTATTGGGTGGTGCTCTCTCACTCCAGAGAACGCAGTGCCACTGCTACGCAGCCCAAATGCTAAGGGGCTTTATACCCCTCTAGCTGGTTCCAGAGTGTCCTTTTCTATTGGTCAACGTATTGCTAAGGACACAATACTGCACCTGTTAACAATGGGAGCACCTGAATTCACTAATCAGAAATCATATCTGGATACATTTGGACATACAGTGTGGTTGGCTCAGCCCAGGCATGTCTCTTTATTTTTGCACTGGAGCTACCATTCCTTTTAAGTGGGACTGTTCCAGGCACATTTGCTCTCATCTCTACAGGAAGTCTCACCATGCTGTGATAGGGTACATGAGTACTGCAGGTATTTGACATATTATTGTAGACCTGTTGAACACACCTCTACAGACCCAGTCCCAGTTGCTTTGTTTTGTTGCTAAGTAACATGTCCGTGAACACATAGAACCCTTTTGGAGTTCTCAACTGGTTCCTCTGTGTCAGAGGGTATCAAGTGTAGTCTTGCGGATTTTAGCATTTCCTCAAGCAGTCGGTTAATTATCGTTACTCTTGCACATGGACCAGTTAACAAGCCCTTCATGAGGTGAACCGGGAACCTCTGCTCTAGAGGAATCTCTTTTAGTGTCAAGCAGACCTTTAACCTTTTGAGGCCTGCTGTTCTCTGTTAATCACGTAATTTCACAGTTCTGTTGCTGCCTTTATTTGATATATAAAGAACTTGAAAGTAACTATTGGTAGATTCAAATTTATTCTTTCTCATTTTGAACAAGAAAACACATAGAAGTCACACATCTGTCATGTTTTATTGTTACTCTGTTTAAACATATCAGTATTAAGCTGAACTGAGTAAGCTCGTTAAAAAAAGCATCTAACAGTAAAGGATGCCTTGTGCTTCTTTTATAGAGAAATAGAAAACACAGTAACACACAGAAAGCTACAGCCTGATATGTTTCACTGTGGCCAACGTACACATGCACACGCTGTAACTTCTCTAGAGGCAAATTCTCAGAATGGATCACTGGCAAATGCATGGTTCCTTTAGAATTTACAATTTTTGCTGGAGATAACAAAAGTATGCTGTAGATTTATTTTAGTCATTATATTGTAGTTCTCTGAAACAATCAGAGACAATCTTTCAAAAGGTCAGAACTTTTGATGAATACCACATCTGAATTTGATCAAAAGTTACTGTTGAGTGTCCAGTCTTGGTTTGCAGAAAGCAAAAACGTTCTCTATATGTTTGAAATATTTTTCATGTTTTTCATACTTGTGGAGGATGTCAGTTGACAGCGTGATGAGGTCACTCAAGAGAAAGGCAAAGATTCACCACACCTGCTTATTGACTGACTCATAATTATATCAGTTGTAGAGGACAAATTACAGCATCTTATTGAAGTTTTCTGAGTTCGACATTCTCTCTCTCACTCTCTTACTCTAGGTGGATGGAAAATGGGGCAGATGGGGGTCATTTGGGACTTGCTCTAGGACCTGTGGTGGTGGGGTACAGTTGGCAAAGCGAGAGTGCAATAACCCAGTACCAGAGAATGGAGGCAAATACTGCCAGGGAGTGAGGGTCAAGTACCGGTCCTGCAACCTCACACCGTGCCCTGACACCGGTAAGAACTTTTCAGCACATATGCAACTTCACCTAAGCCCAGTACACTTTACTTAGGTTTATAGGAGCGTAAAGCAAACATTTGGCCAAAAATGTATGCAATCTTCCCTTACGCCAAATGCAGTGTCAGCCAAGATTTGTTTGGTCTTCGAAGTTAGTGCAGAATAAAGAAGCAACAAACATGTCTTGGCTGACTGATGCTCTTTGGGGTAAGAGTAAAAGTGCATATATTTGATTTTTGCTTAAACAAGTGCCTTAAAATAGTGAACCAGAGGGAGTGTTTTGACATGTAGTTCAAATACATGTTCTGGTGTTGTTGCCAGGCTGCAGTTGTACATGTAAAGACAACAGTCCATCATTTTAATTGGGCATATGCATTCTGGGTCACTTTCACAAAGTTTCATGGCCTGCAAATGTGGAGCCTTTATACAACAACAGAGAGTACAACAACGTCTGGTCATTATACTGTAGATCTGGTACCATTTCAGTTGGAACTGAATTGAGTGCATGATGCACAGAGGAAGGCTTGACCTCATGACTTAGTTACTTAATTTGGTGGAGAAAAACTTAACCGTTTCAATAGAACAGCCTATGATTTAAATTTGGTACGTAGATTGTATAAACTTCAAATCTTGGGCTTCTTCGGAAGAGCACTCGTTTGGTTTATATACCTTCCTAGGGATGAAAAGATAAGGGTACATTTATGCCGTAGTATTTGCTGCATGTTGTAGTTTCATTTTTTCTGTCCTGTTCATTTTTATACATATTTGTTTTAGTTGCACTGTTTTTCATGTCTTGTTTTATTTGTTTTATTCCTGTTATTGTTATTACTGGATTTCATTTTGGACTCAACTCTTGTTGTTGTTATTACTGTGCTTCTTTGTTTGGATTTGTTCTCTGCTGTTGATGCTTTTAAAGCAACTTTGAACTTTGGAAGGGTGCTATAAAAATAAAACATTATTATTATTTATTACAGTTTGTTTCCTCTCTAACCTCTCGCTGTTTCTTCCCTTACATAGGGAAGAGTTACCGTGAAGAACAGTGTGAGGCCTTCAACGGCTTCAGCCTTAACACCAACCGCCTCGCGCCCTCCGTCGTGTGGGTGCCCAAGTACTCAGGAGTGTCTCCTAAAGACCAGTGTAAGCTGATATGCAGGGCTAACGGAACTGGCTACTTCTACGTTCTGTCCCCCAAGGTGAGCTATAAAGGATTTATTTCATTCGACACACACTGGAGGGTAAACATCTGACTTCAAAACCACTCGATTTGATTATTTAATTGATTTAAGAATCAGTTTAATGCACCAGTCAGATCGTTTAGGTATAAGGACGTAACGATACACTTGGCCCACGATTTGATCCTCGAGACGATACGGTATTCTCATGATATTTTGAACAAAATTCAAATAAAGAAAAAAGATGACTCATATTGTTGCACAGCTTACTACTAAACATGCTGGAGGGAGTTGTTGATTGTTCCTGGCTGTTTATGAACTTTGGTGTTCACACAGTGCAACTGAATTTGATTATATAAATTTATTGAGTGGCCATTCTTCTCGATGCATCGTGCATCTCTATGATGTACTTTGTCACATTTTGCATTGCAGTATCACAGTGTCACCATGTATTGGCTATTTTGTAAAGATTCAGAATTTTTTTTTAAAAATGCACTGAATACAAAAATCTGTCTGGAGGAAATATTTACACAGCAGCACAATATAGACATTAAAAAACAACACAACTGCTTTACTGTTTGAACACATTCGATTTCAAGAAGCACCATATTTCCAGAAAACCAAACCCTTATTAAATTCCCAATTTCTTTAACTCTGTCAAACCTGTCACCCTCCTGGCGATACTTTCATATACTTGGTGAAGTCTACTGTAACCGCTTTATACCTGTTGCCAGACCATTTGCGATGCCTGCATGTCCATACTGGTCAGAGTAAGCTGGTTTAGCATGTGGAATTGGAGCTTTCTGTGTGCTAGCATTTTTCTATCACTGTATAAAAGAAGCTCTATGCTGCCTTTATTGTTGGATATACTCTAATAGTTTCTGAGTGTGTGCACAGTTTTAGAATCCAGATTGGTAAGAGCTTATTATTGACTAGGTTAATAAGAGTGACAATAAAATGAGACTCAAGTGTGAAGTATATTAATGTGTTTGATCAAAAATCGACCTATTTCTGGCTTTGTTAGATGACATTCTTTACATATCAAATAATTTCCACAACATAAATCACATTACTGAGATTAAATGGCGGAAAATAGTTGCTTCTTTTTGCTGGAATGAAAGGGTTATGGGTCAGAAATTCAGTGATTAAGGACTATTTTCACAAAGCTGTTAGCCGAAAACGAATCGCAATTAAGGAATAACTTTGAACTACTTACAAATATGAGTTCTGCTGCATTTTCCTAAGCAAAAAGCTTATGTTGCTACACTTGGGCCCAATCCTATTTCTTATTTTTACCCCTAAAAAAGTGTCACCTTGCCCCTTGGAACTGAGTTGCAAAAGGGAGCAGTTGAAATCTTCCCCGCAAATAAAAAGGAACATTACTTTATTAACAGGCTACTGGTGGTGCTCTTTAGGCGACCCTGCTGGTCTGCAGTGAGAGCAGAGGAGAGTGAAGTTCAGCAACCTCACTGCTGGGCTTTAGTTCAATTTAGGGCATCCTATGCCTTCAAAGAGGGGGATGAGACGATTATTATTACCCACCATTAATTTCTCAGTGATATGAAGTTGAAGTCAGCTATTCGCTTTTTTTTAATTTTTCCATTCCACCTTAACTGATGCAGCAGTTACGATGCCTGAGGTGCCAGAATGTAAGGTGGAACAGGAAATTTAGCTAGCTAGCTACTGAGACATCAACATATTACTAACGATTTTTATGCTTGTTATGAAGAAAATGACCATACTACATTGAAACTACATTAAACTAAGATAATGCATTGGTTATCGTAATTTTTAATGGAGAAATACTCACATTTGTGTGTTTCTTTGATCCCTTGCACAGCCATCTTGCTGTTTTTTTCTTTTTTGTCCTAACACTCTGTTTGAAGTGTATCTCTGAAAAATCTATGTTTGGAGGGCCATGTAGCCCTAACACTTCACCCTACCCCTCTAGCTCAACAATAATCGGGACACCGTACCCCTAGGTGTGAACACGCAAAATAGAGGGGTAAGGGCTAAGTGGTAGGGGCAAGGGGTGAAATGGGATTGGGCCTTGCAGTGTTATGTCTGCTCTAGATTCTGAAAAAAAAAATGCTTTTAGTGGATTTTAATGTTTAAGAATAGCTTAAGAATTTTATTTGGGCCACATCATGACAGCACACATAACTGAATAACATTCCAAAATCAATGCATGTGGATTACCCCTTTGCCCCACTCATACAGCTGTTATGCAATTTGATCAGGGTGACCTGGAAAGGTACATCATAAACAGTAGATGAACTTAAGTGGAAAAAAGCTGAGGAATCGTACCTGTGTGTCAGTTTGAATATTTTTAAGGAAATAGTTCGTGTCTCATGAATCACAAGCTCTTCTCTCTTGCGATTTAAGCTTGAGTGGTTTATGAGCATGCGTTAAGCAAACTTCTCATCATACTTTATTCACCTCCCACAGTTACATAACCTGTCAGTTAAGTAGATCATAAAATAATAATCTTCCAAACCATAAACAGTTTCAGACTTTTTACATGTGCACTAGAGCAGTGGTTCTCAAACCAGTCCTGAGGGACCACCAGACAGTCCACATTTCTGCTCCAACCCAACTCGCAATACCTAAGGATACAACAAAACTGTGGAGCATGTGGGGGTCTGGTTTAAGATCAACTGCCTTAGAGGGCAAAATAAAGGCTCAGCAACATGCCAAACAGTTTTGACAGAACTGGTTGCAGTAATTGGTATTAAAAGATGGTTAGCCCTCCTTTAAGTAAGCTTACAGTGTAGATATGACATAGTCAGTAGCGAAGATGCTGAGTGTCCCATGACTGCCTTTTGTTTCTCACAGCTGCCTGTTGTCAGCTGACAAATATAAGACGAGCAAGGCAGATGTTAATCTGGGTGAGATACAGAGGTGTGGAATGAGTCTCCACAGACATGTGAGGCACAACAGGACTAGATCTTTGGGGCTTGAAATTTTGGCTTGAACCTAATACAAAATTTCCAGTCACATGTGGTTGTTTTTCAAAAAAACACACGTTATCTCAAGAAACTGCACACTAGATGCACTGCACTACACCACATTACATAGCGCAGCATAGTATCAGCTGTGCGTGCAAAGCGTGGCCGCTCTACATAGAATGCACTGCAGCGATAAATGCAAAGTTCATTTTTACACTTGTATAAATTTAATGACATAACACAGTAATCAAGTTTGACATCAGTTCACTACTTTTTCCACAAACTCACTGTTTTCGAGCTAAAAGATACAAGGTGAAAAAAGACTAGGCCAGTAACGTTAGCTGAGTTGACTTAGCATTAGCTTTTTTCTGTTTATCTGAAAGATTGTCTTTCTTGGTGTACATTTAAAGCCACATGTGATCTACTGTCTTTTCGTGGTCTCAGTATGGTTTTATTTTAATGTGGTCATGGCATAATGCTGAGTGATGCACTAAAAAATTGAGTGCGCTCAATTGAATGCCGATGTCCAGTGTGTGGTGGTCATTAGTTATGGCATGGCTTATAACATTTTAATTTCTTTGTGACTTTATGGCTATTGCCGACATAAAGTAAAAAGTTTCTTGAGAACTTGAGGTGGCTACTGATCATTACATTAGCATAAACATGCCTTGACACTTGGAGGGGGCAGCAACGGGACTGTGGAACATGTCTGCTCTTGTTAAATGGTGACAGTTTCTTCCTCATATGAAGAACAAAAAGGAGAGGCAACGGCACAGGATTTTGTTTAATTAATTTTATATGTAGTTTGGACGAATATTTGTACCAGACATTATGTATTATGAATTTTAATTTCCCAATCCTGCAGAGTTTTGTTCTGGTCAGATTTCAGTATTTACTGGCTAACAGAAACCCTGGTCCCAAACACAATGTTCCTAATGATCGCACCTTTTAAGTGACCTTATAGCAAGGACAGACATCATCAGATCAGCAAGAGAACAAACATGAGCAGCTATCCAAAACCAAGTTTCAGCTTTACTTGAAGGACTGTATTCATAATTCAATGCCTTCAGTCAACATGCAAGAAATTTTTAGTCTGGACCTTAGACAGTCTGTTGTTCTTATGCCAGCCTTTGGATCTTAGAGGACCTCAGCGCCACCAACATAAGTGATTCCATAAAAAAGCTGCAAGACAAACCACAAGGAAGCCCAACAAGAAATTTAAGGGATATAACAAACCTGGGGTTAAATCAATGTGTTATAGAGTCTATGTACAACTCCAGGTTTGTGTTTTTGAAAAAAAAAAATGTACAGTGATGTATTCAATATAATATTTAGAGCAAAGACTTTTATTTCTAGTCTCTTCTTGGCTTTATGACATAGAGGATCAGCATAATCAACGGAGTCAAGCTTCTCTCCTGTTTTGTTGCAGGTTGTGGATGGAACCCCATGTTCTCCTGACTCCTCGGGGGTCTGTGTCCAAGGCAAATGCTCCAAGGCCGGCTGCGACGGCAAACTGGGCTCCAACAAGAAGTTTGACAAGTGTGGCGTGTGTGGTGGAGACAACAAACACTGCAAGAAGATATCAGGCCTCTTCACAAAACCTGCGTAAGTCATCAGTACCTGAAGCATAGACACAGGAAGATAAAGAGAAGCTTCCTGTCTGAGCGATTTATTAAATGAGGGATTTACAGGGCTATGTCAGACAGGTGGAGGTAGGGGGTGCAAAACAAACAAAAGTCCAAAAGCGTGCATGGCCAACTTTGAAGGCAAACTGCATCCCTTTGTAGGGGATGTCAAACCAAATATTTTGGTGGTTTTGGATTGTAGTAATTGGCAGCACTTAAACGAAAAAACTACAGAAGGTACAGCATATCACAGACCAACTATAGCCGGGGAATTGAAACTCTAAACAAGTGGTACTCTGTAATTTTGGGCAAAGGTCTTTAATGGGCAAAATGTTTTATTATTAATTGACAGTGTCTTTAGCCTGTTGTCTTTAAGTTTTATTTGACATGTCAGACTTAATTTTTGAAGTGATCTGCCACAAGCCATGATTTGTCACATACACAACTATTTGACACACAACATTATTTAACATGGTTAACGTAGTGTTATAGTGCAAAACAATATTCATTGTGGCTGGTCAAATAACTTGTTGCTTTCACTTAGAACTATAAACTGGGGGTTAAGGCTACTGTAACCTCAAATTCCAGGCAGATTAGTATCACCTGGATTCATGTAGCCACTGTTGGGTACTGTGGACCCTCCTTCTTGACAAATGATGTGTTCAAAAAACAAAATGGGAAGAATTCAAATGAAATGATGCAGATTGCTAAATAGTTGTGTGAATCCAGCATAACTCTGAAAGAGCAACTTCATTTTTATTTTCTAAGCAGTTCTGTAAATGGGACTTTCTGTTGATAGACAAGTGATGGAAACCATCGTACCTAGTTAAACTCTGTTCAATTCCAAAGTTAAAATTTCTTGTCACCAGGCATCCTTGTGCACATGGTACCAAGTCTACTTACTAACAAGGCTAACTTACCAACCGTTTTCAGGCACCATCAGAAAAGGGCCGTGTTAATTTGTCATTAAAAAGGCAATTATGTTTTGGGTTCCACAATATTTTTTTTATTTAAAATAGCAACTGAAAATTTGTTAATGTGTGCATGTATGTATGTACAACTGCCCTAAACTTAGCCTTCTTTTTTCCCTCAGCCATGGCTACAACTTTGTTGTCATGCTTCCAGTGGGTGCTTCCAACATTGACATCCGCCAGCGTGGCTACAAGGGCATGGTGAGCGATGACAACTACCTGGCTGTGAAGAACAGCCAGGGCAACTATTTGCTGAATGGAAACTATGTGGTGTCAGCCGTGGAGAGGGACATCCTGGTGCGAGGGAGCCTGCTCCGCTACAGTGGCACAGGCGGACAGTCTGAGACCCTGCAGGCCATTAAGCCTCTGGGGGAGCCGCTGACCGTGGAGGTGCTGTCTGTGGGCCAGATGACCCCTCCGCGCATCCGCTACTCCTTCTACCTGAAGCGGGACAGCAAAGAGGAAAAGACACTAAAGAAGGAGGGCAGGGAACGGGCAGAAAACAGTGTCCTGGTCGAGGAGGGCGGGATCAATGGGAAGGAAGCCGACCTCCTCAAGGAAAAGCTCCCACCCTCTTATGCCAAACAGGCCCCACTCCCTGGGAAGTGGGCGGCGGCCAGGTGGGATGAATGCTCGGTGACTTGTGGGAATGGCCTCCAAAGGAGGATGGTGCAATGCCTTAGGGTAGACGGAGGCCCCGGGACAGACTGTGACCCGGCCAAAAGGCCCAGTGCCATGCGGGTGTGTGGGGATCCCTGTCCCGTGTGGGAAATGGGTGATTGGTCTCCTTGCTCCAGGAGCTGTGGGAAGGGCTTCAAAAGACGCCCTCTCCGCTGTGCCACCCAGACAGGGATGCTGTTGCCGAGGGAGCACTGCACGGGCATGAAGAAGCCGCAGGAGCTGGACTTCTGTTCGTTAAAACCCTGTTAATGACTCTGCCCCCCCTCCACTTCCATTATCTTCTTTCACGGACTTGTCACTTTGTCAAATGATACTCGACGAAGAAAAAAAAAAGATAAACGATCCAGGACTTTACTTGTTCTGGTGCATTTTGTTTTTAGTTCTTGCATACTGCCTGCGAAAAGGGAACAACATGAAGAAGATGAAAAATGTACAAACCGGTAAAAGGAAATGATCTCATATAACTGAGAGAGAGAAACTGAAAGAGGTGGAACGACAGGGTTAAACACAGTTGCAAACGGTGTTCTACCTCTAACTGTAACCAATTTATATTGCCATTTATTTGACCCAGCTCAAACAGAACTATAACCAGTTATCCCAAATAACTGCCCCAGTAATGATACAACAGAGACATATTGTTGCTGTCCAAACCACCACAGGTATCTCTTTGTGTGAAACTGATATAGTAAATGGACCAATAGAAATGTTCCAAAATAGCTTGTAATAAAATCTTTCTACATTAACTTCCATTGAAAATGCAGAACATTTTTGCCCTCTTCTGCAAAGTTACCATTTTGGAGATACTTGTTTTTCTTTGGACAGGGACGATATATATTCGTCTCTTGCTAGTAGGATCCTGTTGAAATTGCAGCCAGGTCAGTTCACTGATCCTATGTGACTATACACAAGATTTTCCTTAAAAACACTGCACATTTATGTGAGCATTTGATAAATGACCATGGTGACACCCTTCAAAGAATATTTGCTGTTGAGGCCAACCCAAACACTCCTGGGTCAAAAAATAACATTCCACAGCTAGATAGGAAACTAGCACAGAAAATGCCCTTGTACTGCATGAAACTGGCTGCAACTGTCCTTCTTATGTTAAAGGCACAGACATGGGAGAGGCTGGTGAGACTAAACTGGGTTCAAGTTGAACATTAACAGGGTCAAGAGTGCTACACTTGCCTGGGGTACATGCTAAAGATGTTAATAATTGCAAAAACAGTTTAATGATTTGATTGTTTTCCATCATGAGTGGTCTTCCCCACCATTTTATCCCTGTTTTCTATGTGAACATTCTGGATTCTGGAAAAACAGTTGTTTAGAGAATGCCTCCAAATTACTCTAATGTTTATTTTGATTACAACATGTATAAAAAAGCTTGGCTAAAGATTAGCATTACTGCAGTATCTTCCATCAGCAAAATCCTGAAGCAGTGGGAACTGTGGGTTCTCTCATGCTTTATTCTGTGGGGAAAAAGTGATGATGACGTATATCGTAGCTGAAAAACATGACTAGACTTTTTTATCTGGGTTTTTAAACAAGTTAAAAAGACCCCGTTAATCACAAAACTAGCCACATTTACATGCAGCATGACAACCCGTTAATAATCCGACTAATAGCTCAATCAGATAGAATACATCAATGTTTACTCCTCAGTCAGAATAGACTAGTCTGATTGAGGCCTTTCCGAATACAGCTTCTTTCCGAATGAACGAGGTGGAAGTAGAAGAATAACAGCCGTGTAAACATCTGTATCTGATTACATTCCCTGTTCTGCGCATGTGCATTTGCACCATAATGGAAGTTTATAACGTCCAACATGGCTGGAGCCAGAAACTGGTTAGGATGGCTAGTAGGATGGGTCGCCATAAAGCTCGCAATAACAAGCTGTTCAGACAAGTACAGGAGCGAATGAACGACAGTGGGTTCACATGAGCTGTATCTCAGACACATCACAGGACGTCTTCCTCTTGCCCCTCCTTTAATAAGTACATGTGAAGTACGTTTTCCTGAGTCTGACTTAATTTAAAATTAAAAACACAAGCGCGTCTACGGTAAACTCAGGTAACACACTGCTGCTCGTCTCACGCTGACTGGATTAACGTGATGCTCGTTGTCAAAGTGACATCTACAGAGTGGTTCTCTACACATGCGTACTTTTGGATCTAATTGCTGAGCATGTAAACACAGCCAGTCATAATCTTTAATTGGAATTAATTCAATCATATGTCTTTGCATGTAAACACAGCCACTGTGATTTAAAAAAATTGGTGAAGGCCACTTAAAGGGGTCATAGAATAGGAGATATAAACTATCAAAAGCTGAAATGGAACCAAGAAAACTCCCTATGTTAGTATGTTACCCTTTCCAGACACTCTCCAGCCCTCTCAAAGACAGGCCGAGATCACCTAACCAACATCTCACCATGTTATCGCCACCAACTGTGCCCCACGCTTTTCATCTCATTTCGTCATCCAGCTCCTTCATTGTTTGTTTACTCATTTGTCGCAGTCGTCCTCCTCCTGTCCTCCACTCTTACCATTGAGCCAGAGGTGCAGCTGCTACGATCAAGCCCTGTCTGGTACAGTTGCCATATTAACTAAGTTATTGCTACTATTAGAGTGATTTTTAAAGAAGCGACGGCTCGCGGTGCAAGGTTGGTGCGGTTTCCGACGCCAACCTGCCGAGCTGTTCTTAAGTGTAAATTCCTGTAATGCATCATACGGCAAAACATATATGCGCAAGGTTCTTCAGAGCGACCATATCGTCCATCTAAAAGATGGTTCCTGTATTACTTGGAATGTTTTATTTTGTTTTGTTTTTCTTTTGCGCTTTAGTTCAGCAAAAGATTTCAACGTCCTGCATGGGCTGCCTTGTATACCATGTATACATCCATCTGGCTGTGCACAAATAAGTCATGTAAATACCTTTTTATGTCTTTTATTGATATATGTATGTGTTTTTTTTTTTAACGCTGGCATTTTGAATTGTCATGACTTCAAAGGTATTTATTCCAAATAAAACATGTACAAACAAATCATTGTTTTGTCTGGATCTGCTCCCTTGTCTACTCCCCGTCTCAGTGAAGTGACACATTGGCAGTAAAAGCCTTTTAGTAAACTTAAAAGAAGCAGCTTCTTTGGAATGAGTGATTGGCTTCGTAAACATCTAGACATGACTAAAATCTATCTGTGGCAGCTTTTTTTTTCTCTTTCAAGAAGGAAAGAATGCCCTTTGCTCTCATCACTTTCTATAGTTCTATAGTGTCTCGCTTTCTCACAGAGTGAGACTGTTCAAAGGATACTCCTTCACTGGAAGAAGGGAGAGAGGGAGGGAGGGATGGAAAGTGAGAGAAAAAGCATGTGGACCACATTTCAAGCACTAGAATGTAGCAGCTGTATGCTCACTGTCCCATGCCTTATAAGGCAGTTAGACTTCATTAGATGAGGGGTATATATAGCCATTGGGAGAACAGTGTCAGGACTGAGTGCAGACTGGGAATATTACATCAAGCTCAAAGCATTGTCATGTCAGTGGCTGAAAAATGTCTGATTTCAGCTGACCCACATATGAATATTAAAAAAAGAACTATACAAGATGTTTTCTTTCTGCTCTATCTGTCATTCCCTCTCTCTCACGCTTTGTCTCTGATACACAGTCAGACAAATTCCTAGTCCCTCTGTTTTTCTCTTCCTGGCACTCATTCATCTGTTGCTTGCCTGAGAGGCTAGATGGTATAAGCAGTCACTAGAAGGTATATAAGCATTGCGGTTTAGATGTTAGCATGCAGATCTTCTATGTAAACCATTACAAGAGAAATCTTCCCACAGGACTAGTACAAAAACCAGAGGCCTGTTTCATCACACTGTTTCATACTCTCCATCCATTTCCAGGGGTCCTAATGGAAAGACTAAAGAATTAAATTGGGATAATTATTTTAGTTTACTATAGATAGTTAGATGGACATTACACTTATCACCGCCATCATATTGTTGACCGGCAGATGCAGCAGTGACAGCGACGACAGCAGTGCTCGTAGAGCCATTGTTGGTTAATAAAGCATGCTGACAGACAAAAAGCTATGATGTGCTGTGTGCAAATAAACAGGAAAAAACTTTTCCTAACCTTAACATTTTCCTACCAAAGTTTGCTCCAATTCCATAGTTTTGGCCTTTTTGAGTGTCCGGAATTGTCCATGATTGATAATTGAAACTGATTGATGATTGACTTATGCAATCTATCTGTTAATTAATATTAATATATCTAAGTTAGATCTTTTATGCTTTAGCTAGACCAGGGGTCGGCAACACGTGCCTCTGGAGCTGCATGCGGCTCCACAGCAGAATTAGAGTAAAATTAGATAAAATAAAATAATCCTCCTTTGGAGTAAAATAAGGCTCTGCTGATCGTTCAAACACAGTTTTAACAATAAATGGTCTTAAACACTGGAGTTACTGTGTAACTGCTAATTCACCCTTTAACCCTGAAGGTTGGCACACAGACTGCTGGTCACCACAGCAACACCGACAAGAATCTGGCCTAGCTAGTAGCTAATGAAAAGAGAACAAAGAGAGAGATTTAAGACAAACATTGATAATTTAGAGACGAACGGGCTTATTTGCACTTATAAGCACTGCAGTTGGTTTCCTGATATGTTTAATACGCAGTGAGAAACTGTCAAACACTAAAAAGTCATGAGGCTGAAGTCAGCTTCTCATTCGCCAGCTTCTTGTTAGATTTTTCCTGCAAGCAGGTTCTACATCATTTTTCCAAATAGATAGTCAAATCAGTTACTTTACATTGCTGATTTGTGATTGGCCAATTGTTTCAAGCCTGTAGCTCCACCAAAATGTGTATATAGCACAATGTGTTTAGTATGTTGTTGGAAAATGGCCATATAATTTGCATGTAAACATTGTTTTTTGTTTCATTTTATTGGTTTTCATTGTTTATTTCAATGTGTTTTGCTGCATGATGCATTTGGAAAGCAGGAAAAAACTGATGTGACGCTTATTCTCCAGATGCTGTGTTGCTTCTGGCATGTGTCTGGGATGCTCTGTGGTGCTGCTCATGCTGGCTCTGTGCTGCAATACGTAACTTAGCACACAGAGGTAGTATGTGTGAAACAGGCCTTAGGCTAGCTAACAACAAGCCGGGTTATTTGATCAGTGCATGCTTACTTTCAAGGTTCATCCATGAATTGTGAAGTGATGGTAGTTAAAAAGCCTGGATATGCTATCGTAGCTATAGCTTCCCTCCTTCAGTCATTGACAGCGAACTCCCGAGATGCTGCTCAGTGTGCATAACATAAAAGAATGCAAAGATACGCTTTTAATCGAA